CAGTCTTAAAGTATGCCGCACCATCATGGAGCCCCCACCTGAAGAGACACATACAAGAAACTGAAAATGGTTATGAAGTTGGTGACGAGGCTCGTCCCAGAATTGGGGGATGGAGTATGAAAAACGACTGAAAGAAATTAACCTGACGACGCTAGAAAAGGAAAAAAAAGGCAGAGAGAGAGAGAGAGAGAGAGAGAGAGAGAGAGAGAGAGAGAGAGAGAGAGAGAGAGAGAGAGAGAGAGAGAGAGAGAGAGAGAGAGAGAGAGAGAGAGAGAGAGAGAGAGAGAGAGCATAATAGACGTACACAATACTTAGAGGGATTGACAGGATGAAAATAGAAAAAATTTTCTCATTAAATACCAATAGAACAACGGGGACGTGGGTGGAAACTTGAAACCCAGAAGAGTCATAGAGGTGTTAGAAAGTTTTCATTTTCATTTTCATAGAGAAAATGCAACGAAATAAAGGTGCAAGCTGTGGAAGCAAACTATTCATCATTTAAAAGTAGATATGATAGGACATGTAATAGATATGTAATAGGACAGGAGTCATTGCTTTAAATTGGCGGCTAGAAAGGGGGGTCCAAGAGCTAATTCCCGATCCTGCAGACACAAATAGGTGAGTACACAAATACTCAAGTATTTCACATTATAACTTATAAACTATTATACCTCAATAAACTTATTTAAATTTAAATTATAACTATTCGGTGCAGTTTGCGCAGCGTTCCTTCAACGGACCTGTATTGTACACACTAGACACGATGAGTATGGGGTGCACAATAAACTAGCCGCCTCCGACGGCAACAATCAATCGGTGAACGAATTAACCTTAAAAAATATAAATATATAATAATAATTTCATTCGCCTGGGCTCTAGGAGATTCGGACCATGGACCCCACGCGTGTGGGGCAGAGGCTCTATCCATGTTATCTATAATAATACTAATAATAATAAAAGGCGGACGGCCAAGGAGCAGGTGTCTGACATCACCTCTGGGAAGTACACAGTAAAAGTTGTTGAGGATCTTACGTTCGTGTTTGACAGCCTAAGTTATTAGTATATTTAATATTGTTATCAATGACTTCACAATACGTTGTTAACTTACCATTAACGACAGGTTTGCGGGCTGGATCAGGTCTTGAACGGTGGACTCTGGACTGCGTGGTGTGAGCAGGCGGCGTCCTGGTAAACAATAGCCACCAACCCGTCCTCTCAACTAGTAAGTCTCATTTTCTACGTTATGGTCCCCCAACGAACAAATTACAATGTATTATGAACAGTAATAGCTAGCAAACATTCACGTGTGCTATGCACCGGTAGGTTAAGTGGGTTGCTTGGGTTATGTTTTTTCTATGTTACAGCTATCAAGAAAACTGAATGTAAACATACTTTAATGTACTGTGTAACCAAAAGCAGAATTTTCTATAATGTAAATATTAATGTATATTATAGTACTGTATATAATTAGGGCTAAAATAGGGTAGGTGTTTCGGTTCTTTTTGTAATTTTTTTTGTGAAGATTGTTGGAGAAGCATTTAGAGACGAGCGATTCGAACACAGGAAATAAGGAGCAGTTCTAACCTAAACAGCCAAAAGGCTAAATGTTCGTTAATCCAGTCGCCAAACCTACTGTTTATGAAGGAAAAATGCTTTAACACGACTCAACTGGTGACGATGGCTGGATTAACATGCATTTGGCGTTTATGAGGGTCTGTTCTGATGGCGTTCGAACATTTCTCAAATAGTGTTTCGCTAACGGCCTCTGTTCGAATCGCAGCGCTGTAAATGCTTCACCCACCCACACTTGTATCACTGTTTTTATACTCTCCCTAAACAGCTTGTGGGGGTGCCATATACATTAGCGCATTTAATGGGGGCAAAATGCAAGTTTTTTGTAAAAGTGTTCATTAAAACCAGTTTTGTTTTTCAGACTGAAATGTTTTCGTGAACTTGATTTTAGTTCGGCTATATATTTTTCGAATTCACCCAATTGTAATTGCATAATCCCATAGTAAACTTTTTTTTACATTTCAATAATGTCATTGTCTGTCAGTCCTACCAGTTCTGAGAATTTTGTATGTGATAAACAGTCTAACTATAATATTTCTTCGGCAAAGGTGACAATTATGCCTCAAGCAATTTTCACAACCGTACTAGGCTAGGCTGTGTCCACACACACACACACACACACATATATATAGAGGGTAAGTAGTGGGTGGGATTCCTAAGCTTCTCACTCGTATATACGTTACACACGGTTTCATAGCAGTTCATTTCAATAACTTTATTCATATATGGTTATACATTTATAACCAAGTTCAAAAAGATTGAAGTAAATTGTTCATTTACACATTAAAATAGTTATAATTATAACCTATACTGATAATTATAATCCAGAAACAAGGATAATGGCATTATTCTGAATAATTCTCAAAGACAATGCAAAGAAGAATATAGTACTTTAATAATATTAAAGACACTAAGAGATACATAACTGATTACCTGATTACCGTAGTCAGGTAATCTAATAAACATTACAGATTTACCTTTTTAGCAATAATTTTGTCTTCCCAGACAATAGTGACTTGATAGCATCAATAGTAGTTAATGAAATCTCCCGTATGGATCGCAGAGAGAGAGGTACGGCGCATGCGCAGAAGGTGACGGCTGGCTTACTTTCACATAGAGTGCGTCTATATGAACAAGCGCAGGGGATGGCCGCCCTCATATCCTCCACAACCACACAACCTGCCATGAATCTCCTCAGGGTAGGTTTCATCTCGTTGTAAAGTCCTGGATTACCTCGATAGTTCTTCCAGTAGTAACTACACTGTTGACCAGACCACACACTAGAAGGTGAAGGGACGACGACGTTTCGGTCCGTCCTGGACCATTCTCAAGTCGATTGTGTCAAGTCGCCTAACTACACTGTACCCGAAGCTTGCGAAGGTGGCCTATCAAACGATTGTGTTTATTGTTTGCAATGACTATTGATATTATTATGGTTTGAATCAAATGCATATCGTTCAAAAAAGTGTGAAAGATGGCAAAGCAAGTTGTGTCAATTTATAGTTATATGTTAATTTGTGTTGGTTGGCTTTGGGCAAGTTGTATAGATTTTCAGCACATCAATTTAGAAGTGGAAGAACTAGTTGAGTATATTTCATAAATACACAATTTTCCACAGTAAAGACGAATCTTGTAAGAGAGAAAAAGTTTAGTGAATCTCCAATCTCCATAAATACCCCAAACTTCAGATGCGTTGGGGATGGTTTATTGTTGAACATTAATAGTCTGTTGTTGTTTTAGATTCAGTTACTTGGAACAAAAAGTTCCAAAAGTTCCACAGGCTATGGTGAGCCCGTCGTGGACTTCCCTGACACAGGAGCGGGGCTGTAACTAAGTGCATTAATATGTTGTTGTTGTTTTAGATTTAGCTACTCAGAACGAAGTGTCCATGTAGCACGGGCTATGGTGAGCCCGCAATGCATTAATAGTCAAGTGTACAGGATATATATACAGTGTGAGGTGTGTTTGCTCTGGACTATGTCCAGGACTATATACATGGCGGTTGCTCATTAAGAACTCTACGGGCTCACCATAGCCCGTGCTACTTGGAACTTTTTGTTCCCAGTAGCTGAATCTTAAACAACAACAACATTAAGCACTTACGGTAACTTTAATAACGCTGGAGGCTGATAGGCTTTAAAGCCCAACACCAAACCAAATCAAATGCAAAGTGCTAAAAGTATCCCTAAAACTATATTTTGTCATTCGAAAATAGCATTATTAGATATTGTTACTGTAAGCCATACTGCCATGCCCATATAATTTCCATTTAAAAGTAAGATGTCAACGTTAGACAATACACACGTTTTCTGTTCAATTACATCATTTGTCCAAATTATAGCTTATCCGACATGAGACTGTTGCCAGTGTGCACAATGTTGAAATACACTTTTAATGAGCTCTGTCTCCGTTAATTACAATAGTCTCTACTTCATAACTAGGATAGAAAACCTAGGATAGATGTAAGGGATAATTTTATTTGGAAATTGCAATTTTGTGTAAACACTACTCCGTATCGTATTTTTATTCATTTTAGCAAGTTGATGGAATATAACACATTACACAATGTTTCTTGCGTGTGCATACACACACAAGGTACCAGTGCTGTTTCTGGTACTGTACATGTAAATGGATTACTGGTAATGAGGAACATTCGAACAAGAGACGACTAGAAGTTGCATTAACAGCTGGACAGAAAGTAGTAGAAATGGTTCTAATTGTGGCTATTAGAGTTCAATCTGAATAAGTGTAATGAAGATAAGAGCCGAAGATAAAAAAAACTGTAATAAAGCATCATTAATAAGAGAATAAAAAAATGAATCTGGATGAAGTAGATATCGAGGTTATCTCCAGAAGCCCACATAAGACCAGTTTATATCCTGAAACCCACATAAGACCAGTTTATATCCTGAAGCCCACGTGAAACCAGTTTATATCTTGAAGCCCACGTGATGCAGAGTTGACCTCATGAAGCCCTTAATACCGGGTTTATCTAATGAAGTCCACATTACACTGTTTTTTTTCATGAAGCCAACATGATACCGAGTTTATCATATGAAACCTATATGCCACTGAGTTTATCTCATGAAGTCAATATGATGCCGAGTTTACCTCACGAACCCAAGGACTTCATCTCTCATTCGGTATCCAGTGTCTGGATATATATATAACAATAATTTGTACTCGTGATACTTATTGCTGTTAATATAAAATCTCTCTCAATATTTGTCATTACTTTAGCTTCGTGGTTGGTGAGCGCCGCAGCGCCTATATTTATGGCGATTGCTATTTTCACAAATTCCCTTTCCTCGAAACTTTTACTGACTTTTGTGGTGTACATGAAAATTCTTAATTGTTTTGTCGTTCAACTAACTGCACCTGTTGAGCACTAGTTGCCAGTCATTATCGCCTGTGATTTCTTCAATTCTGTGGGATTACTGCTAGCACCGGAGCCTATTATCACATTATCTTCACTAGTGGAACCTGTGTTGCGTGTCAATAATGAGTACAGTCGTACACTGTGTATTGTAGCAGTGCCTGAGAGTAATGGTGAGGACTGATAAATTGTGGAGTGTAGCAGTGCCTGAGAGTAATGGTGAGGACTGATAAATTGTGGAGTGTAGCAGTGCCTGAGAGTAATGGTGAGGACTGATAAATTGTGGAGTGTAGCAGTGCCTGAGAGTAATGGTGAGGACTGATAAATTGTGGAGTGTAGCAGTGCCTGAGTGATAGTGAGAACTGGTACACTGTGGAGCGTTGCAGTGTCTATCATCAACGTTGAGTACTTTTACACTGGAATACTGTGCAGTGTAGCATGGTGTGTCACCAGCTGTGAATACTTTTACACTGTATACTGTGGAGTATACTGAAATACATGCACACACCCTTAATACATTACTAATCCTTTTAAGTTAAACCAAAATATTCCATGATAGATTTTTTTTTGCAGCCTAGGTGGATCCCGACATGGACCGCGGTGGTGCGCGAAGTGACAACTCCTATTCTCAAGTGTTTAAATTCTCAAGAACTGTCGTGTATTTGAGTACATTATATCAGTCCATGGGAATCATATATGTGTGTGGCAAGTGAGAAACGTTGGACACGGATCTCTGTCAAGATAATAAATTGACAGTGAAGTAACGGTTGCCACACAACTGGTAGATACAGCCGTGGCGCAACTCTTGGTTATACAAGTGGTGAAATAAGCAAGAAATTATCTTGATAATTTATTGATGGCAATACGAAGATATCCTCAGCAACACGGGGAGTGGATAAAGTAATTGCACAGGTGCCTCGCCGGGTACAGAGACATGGGATCAAAATAATGGAAGGTAGTTATAATCCGTACATTCTGTGACGCTCAACATTAATGTGATAACATAAATATTAATATAAAATGTGCAGGTTATTGCAATCAGAAAGTCGAGTCACGAGCAGTCTCAGTTATAAACCCAAATTTTTGCCCAAATAAAATTGGAATGATTGTAACGATTTATATTATATAAATAACGGGTGATTTTAAAATATATTGCATTTAAAAAATAAATAAGCATCAATGAATATCACGGGCTTGATTGATTCGAGAATACTCAAAGCTTTGATGAGTGTAACAATACAACATATACACACGCTTATCACTCCATTTTTTCTTATCGTTCAATGAAGTAACATGTTAAATAATGACGGTGAAAAAAAATAATCATGAAATTTGTAGTGTGCTTAAAATTTCGCGGGCAGATTGTATGAGTGTAGTATTGTTCCCTGAGAGAGGAGAGTGGAGGAGAAAGCGAGAGCAGCCGCCACAACAAGGAAGGATGATACAACACTCACGTTCACTGTTGCCAAAACCCACGTGCAACCAACTGGGACTTGATGAGGCAATCCTGACAGACTGCGGTTACTGGGAGAACCTATAAGTCTCATTGGTAATTAAATAGTGACGTCAGCACATGGCACTGTGAATCACTGCTGAAATTATTTATATATTTTTCCTACATATATTATTTTCCGTAAATTCCATTCAGGCGGCCTGCGAAAAAGACTGAATTACGGAAAGATTTTATTAACATATTAAAGTACAGCTGCAGTTATGCGGGGGCCCTAGACAATTATATGAAGGGTTACAAAGTGTTTGTCAAGAGATTACTATGAGACGGTAGGGAATTTCCATCTCGCAAGATGGGTAATCAAACAGGGGCATGTGAGCAGAAGCCTGCACTTGTACACTCTAAAAAACAAATATTCTTAGGGTTTGTATAGCACATATATGTACTATATTAGGCTTCATATAGCGTGTATTTGGCCTAGGAAAGTTAGGTTAGGTTAGTTTGGGTTGTCTTTGCAACATAAATACAAAACCTGTTCCGGTTTGTTAAAATTCATTAGTAACGATTTCTACTTTCTAATTGATCATTACGTCATATATGTACTATGGTTCTCATGATTACTGTAAGTACTAAATAAACAAGAGGATAGGCTGCGTATGAACGAACATACCCACTTTTCCCACATTACGAATAAACCATCCTGTATACATGAACAAAAGCATGCAATTTCATCAAATACATTATCACTACCCTGCTACTTTAATATTTCCTTACATAGGCCATAATTATAATTAATGATACAATAGGCTGAAGCCATGAACCCCGAGGGTTAAATTCATGCAATACACATAGTTATGATCTAGTTAAATCACTGGGTCAGAGCACCTATACCACAAGCACACTCAGTGCAGCCCAGCCTCTAAATTTGCCTCTCCATATAAATCCAACCTTTAGCCTAACCAGACACTTGCCTAAGCTATAGAGCCGGATGCATAGAAACTTGAGTATTTGTAAGACGTTACTCTTCTTAGCAGGTTGCATTTGTGTCGTTAATTACGATAACGTAACAAAGTTTCTTATTAGTTGAGAGGATAGATTTGAGAGGTAATTTGTATATAATAATTGACTTGTCTCTCCATCTAGACTTCGGTGCACAGAAAAGTTAAAGAAAACTTAATATTATCAACAGATTTTTTGCAGGTATTGTTTATAGTTTATATTGTTAATATGTTGTTTAGTGAATAAAATTTCTTATTTAGTTTCTAATTTATACTGGTATGACGGTAGGTGTTGTGTGTGGTGCTTGTTGCCAGCGTGACGACGTGGGCCCAGCCTCAGCGGCCTCGCCAGACACCCTTAGCCATGGGGATGCGCTTCCTAGGAAACCTACGTAATGGTATGACGAGGACCATCCAGGGCATCTTCGGCAGTGGACCTAGGAGGGGCAAAGAGACCCCCAGTGAACGGCCAGCGATCTCACAGAAGCCCCAGCAGCTGAACTTCTTGCCTCCAGTTTCAGATAATCACTTTCCAACTGCCACAAAAGACCACTTTCCACCCGCCCCAGAGAACAGCTTTTCACCATTAACGGAGAGCCGCTTTCCACCAGCCACGGAGAACCATTTGCCACCTGCAGTGGAGAAACCTAGCTTAACAGGAACAGAAATTCCATCGTCATTTTTCACAGTTTTTCATGAATCGGTGGTCTCTACGGCCTTTCCGGATACACAGGGTTTCACAGACGAAAGCTTCAAGCCCAACAACTTTCTGACTGGAACCACACCTTTCCAGGGAACTATAGACGAAGACCAGCTGCCCTTCATCCCCACGCATAGTGACAAGCACCCGCAAGCCCTTCCCTTAGTGCAGAACCAGCTTGCTTCGCCTCCTCAGGACTCCTCCCCGCACAGCTTCTCCAGTACTGGATTCACAGATTTTGGCAGCCCCAAGCCTGGAGACACTCTCACAGACACTTCCATTCCATTTGGAAACACGGCTACGTTTAACCTGGGAAACGCGTTCAAGAGCAGTCGCTCACAAGATTCATTTCCACAGACCATTCACTCATTCCATTTCCTTGATTCCCCGGAGAACAAGGAGGTTTTTGGACAAGCGCTCCACCAAGCCGACGAGCACATTAGCCCTCAGCCGTTTGCCAGAAACAGTCAGCCATCCCATCACCCGAACAATCACAACAATCCTCAGCAGTTCACCAGGTCCATAGAGCCCTCCAACCTATCAGAGTTCAGTCATACAAATCAGGAAAGGACAACGCTCTCTGAGGATCATCCTACAGTCATCATACGATCTCAGTCTCCATCACCAACTCATGTCCCCACCCAGAGTTTCAATGAGCAGCAGAAGCGTCGATCCACAACTCAGCTTCAGTCCAGACTATCCACACCTACCCTCATTCCGGCTACCTTGGAATTTAAGAAGCAGGCCAGGGATAACCAGCAGCCCAACAAGAAATCAGTGGTGCCTGTGAAGATTAACAACGGACACATTAACACCGGAACCAAGATCCAAGTCACCCCCAAAGAAAATGACGATGGTACTGAGGTAAGTGGCCGACACTTGAATAAGTAAGACATAATGTTTTTCGTAGTACTAAAAGTCATAATGCTAACCTTTATGAACACTTTAAAGACAATTTTAAATTCCGAAAAGTGAATCACCAACGGGTTACTGTCTTCAAAGCTGTCCTTTATTATTGGCATTCTCATTCTTCTTGTCCTGCAGGGCGAAGAGGTGAGCGGCTATGAATTCGGATACGGGGTCCTGGACAACGATACCGGCAACCAATTCTTCCACGCGGAGAAGCGGGAGGAGGGCCAGACGAGGGGCTCGTACAAGATCCAGCTACCTGACGGCCGAGTACAAACAGTAACCTACGTAGCCAACAGCCAGGGATTTCACCCCAAAGTGACTTTCGACGGTGAAGCGCACTTCCCCGACAAAACTTCAACGACGCCTGCTTAAGATCTCAATGTCGAAGCTCATTGAACAGGAGACCAAGAAAACCTGTCATGGAGACCTTCAGAGAAACAAGACGAACATCACCAACGTAAAGTTCGTGTCTATATACACTTTGCACTGGAAGACTCGAACTTTCGACTCCACGAACGTGAGACAAAAGTTCACCATTGTGGCGTCCTGAAGAGGACTCTTCAAGACAGTCTCCCAGATGTCTTGTCTCCCCTGTGATCTCTAACACTTGATACACCGCCTCGGTGCTCCTACGGCTCATTTTCTCTTTTGCAGAAATATATTGTACTAGGCATCGTCCATTGTTGTAAATATTTTGTTCATATCAAGTTTTCCGTCGCAGGCGATAGGAGTGTTTCAGTGTTTGTTGTTTTATAATAAATATTTAGAAACAATTTAAATTTCTTGATTGCACTACCCCGACACATTAAAAATCAAAATAGGGTCATAACACAATAAACAAGAGGGGGTCGAGCCATGGCTGGCCTTTTAGTCACTGGTTCACACTGACCAGTTTTAAACATCATTTTAACACAAATCTATACATTCTCAGGCCCATGGTCGCAAAATGCAGTATACTTCCGTATCCTATACTTTTTTCGGAAAAATAATTGATAAATCATGGAATACTATTTTCAATGGACAGTTGTATTTGTTAGATGTAACGTGTATTGTTTATTTGTTTATTTTACAAAATGCCCAACTGAAATCCTTAGGTTTTATCTCCAACATGGCCATGTCTATTGGGCGCGCGCACACACACACACACACACACACACACACACACACACACAATGTCGTGTGTGTAGATTCGTTTATAGATTCGATTATGATTCGATTCGTTTATTATTCGTTAGTATAGATTCGTTATGTATAGATTCGTTATGTATAGATAGTATACTATAGATTAGTATAGATTCGTTTATAGATTCGTTATGATTCGATTCGTTTATTATTCGTTAGTATAGATTCGTTCCTCTCAATGTTTGCCGACGATGCAAAAATTATGAGGAGGATTGAAACAGAGGATGATAGTAGGAGGCTACAAGATGACCTGGATAGACTGAGTGAATGGTCCAACAAATGGCTGTTGAAGTTCAACCCGAGTAAATGCAAAGTAATGAAACTAGGCAGTGGAAACAGGAGGCCAGGCACAGGATACAGAATAGGAGATGAAGTACTTAATGAAACAGACAGAGAGAAAGATCTAGGAGTTGATATCACACCAAACCTGTCTCCTGAAGCCCACATAAAGAGAATAACGTCTGCGGCATATGCGAGGCTGGCTAACATCAGAACGGCGTTCAGGAACCTGTGTAAGGAATCATTCAGAATCTTGTACACCACATATGTAAGACCAATCCTGGAGTATGCGGCCCCAGCATGGAGCCCGTACCTTGTCAAGCACAAGACGAAGCTGGAAAAAGTCCAAAGGTATGCTACTAGACTAGTCCCAGAACTAAGAGGCATGAGTTATGAGGAAAGGCTGCGGGAAATGCACCTCACGACACTGGAAGACAGAAGAGTAAGGGGGGACATGATCACAACCTACAAAATCCTCAGGGGAATCGACCGGGTAAACAAGGATGAACTATTCAACACTGGTGGGACGCGAACAAGGGGACACAGGTGGAAGCTGAGTACCCAAATGAGCCACAGAGACGTTAGAAAGAACTTTTTCAGTGTCAGAGTAGTTAGTAAATGGAATGCATTAGGAAGTGATGTGGTGGAGGCTGACTCCATACACAGTTTCAAATGTAGATATGATAGAGCCCAATAGGCTCAGGAATCTGTACACCAGTTGATTGACGGTTGAGAGGCGGGACCAAAGAGCCAGAGCTCAACCCCCGCAAGCACAATTAGGTGAGTACAATTAGGTGAGTACACACACACACACACACACACACACATGGCTGCTGAAGTTCAACCCGAGTAAATGCAAAGTAATGAAACTAGGCACAGGAGGCCAGGCACAGGATACAGAATAGGAGATGAAGTACTTAATGAAACAGACAGAGAGAAAGATCTAGGAGTTGATATCACACCAAACCTGTCTCCTGAAGCCCACATAAAGAGAATAACGTCTGCGGCATATGCGAGGCTGGCTAACATCAGAACGGCGTTCAGGAACCTGTGTAAGGAATCATTCAGAATCTTGTACACCACATATGTAAGACCAATCCTGGAGTATGCGGCCCCAGCATGGAGCCCGTACCTTGTCAAGCACAAGACGAAGCTGGAAAAAGTCCAAAGGTATGCTACTAGACTAGTCCCAGAACTAAGAGGCATGAGTTATGAGGAAAGGCTGCGGGAAATGCACCTCACGACACTGGAAGACAGAAGAGTAAGGGGGGACATGATCACAACCTACAAAATCCTCAGGGGAATCGACCGGGTAAACAAGGATGAACTATTCAACACTGGTGGGACGCGAACAAGGGGACACAGGTGGAAGCTGAGTACCCAAATGAGCCACAGAGACGTTAGAAAGAACTTTTTCAGTGTCAGAGTAGTTAGTAAATGGAATGCATTAGGAAGTGATGTGGTGGAGGCTGACTCCATACACAGTTTCAAATGTAGATATGATAGAGCCCAATAGGCTCAGGAATCTGTACACCAGTTGATTGACGGTTGAGAGGCGGGACCAAAGAGCCAGAGCTCAACCCCCGCAAGCACAATTAGGTGAGTACACACACACACACACACACACACACACACACACACACACACACACACACACACACACACACACACACACACACACTGCTGATTATCTTCAATTAGCTCACTGTCTGTCTTAGGGGATACTTAGTGGGTCAGACCCAATGTGTAAACTCGTTAGTAACCTTAGTTCATAGTTTATTTAATTTATTATACACCCCATGCCCATCCTGCGAGTGATAATACACCCCATACCCATCCTGCAAAGTGGTAGTGCACCCCATACCCATCCTGCGAGTGGTAGTGCACCCCATACCCATCCTGCGAGTGGTAGTAGACTCCATACCCTTTCCTGCTAGTGGTATTGGACCCCATATCCATCCTGTGAGTGGACCCCATACCCATCATATGAGTGGTAACGCAAATACTTATTACTGTAATTAATCCTATGTTCCCCGGAATACGACCCTACCAAATCGTTTAACAACATCGCTCGTATTGAAATATTTGGTGCTTCTACAGGATATTAGTTTTGATTTTCTTTTGTGCTTAATGGGTGTGCTTTCGTTAGTTCCACCAACCATACACTCGAGTGGTAAACAAATGTGTTTAGCTACCACAGTAATAATATAATGTAAACGTCTGATCCATAAGATTACACACTACACTGCAACTGACATCATACCTATTGAAAAGTGCATGTAATGAGAAGGAGGAGGGGTGTGGGGATTTAACTGACATTTACTATTAAAATCTTTGAAAGTTTAGCCAATCGAAAAAAAACTTCATATGAATCTCGAAATTTAATTTTTCAAGCCCAGACTATCAACTAAGCTCGGTCATTTAAAGATTTTTCAAATAAATTCCACAATTTGGCGGTCACAAACCCAAACTATCATATAAGTTATCAGATAGAGCATCAGGCGATTAAGAGGCCAAGATGCCCCCCTGTGAGCAGGCGAGGCGACAGAACCAACGCCGCCACCAGACGGAAGGAACCTCAGTCGCACTCTTGTCCTCTACTACCAAAGTTACAAGTTCTAAAGCCTTGCTTTTTCTCACATTTATATGTAATAGGCTACGGAGTTCGATAAAAGTGCGTCTTTGAGGTGATCTATAGGCAGTGACATCAAGTATATTACCTGAATTCGCCTAAGAATCGTCCATCCCAATAGTGTTTTCGACGGAACAGGAAGCCGGCGATTATTGAACGTTATATATCCACAGTGATCATTAGAAATTCTGATACAAGATGTGGAACTGAAACTTTCACCAACCAAAACAAGCATGGAGTAGTCTAATGGAGTCAGAAGCCAACAATTGGACTAAATTTGTCTTAAGAAACATATTTTGAGGTCTAAGTTGCTAGTCAAAAGAAATGCCGATGTTATTGGCGGTTGAGGTACGTGATTAATTTTTTTGTATATAAGAACGAAATATTACCCATGTAATTTGATAATTTTGCTCTTGTTTAAATTCTGTAGTTTCTTTTATTCTTATGTTCCAATGCACTGCCAGGAAAACTGCGTATATAAGGGAACGACAAAAGCACGACAAATTGCTGTGGTAGCGTGTTAATGGTAATTTAAAAAACAACATGGATGCCAGCTGAGTAAAACAGCCATGAAGTGCGTAGAACTCTACAACTCGCTGCTACATATAAGTTGTCATGAAAAAAAGTATTTATAGCGTAGTTCAAGAAATAGCCTAGCAATTAAAATGTTATATTTAGTAGAAGCAATTTTTTAATTTAATCTGTGAATATTGCCATATATAATGACAAAGCAAGGTCTCTGCTCTCCACACTGGACCAAATAAATACAAATGTCAGGCCAAATAATCTGTCTGTGACACTTTTAGACTAGACCGCATTCCTCCATTAGCAGTCCCAGGCTCTTCCCAACCAAAATTTTTATACCGAGATTTTTGTTGTTGTTTTAGATTCAGTTACTCGGAACAAAATGTCCATGTAGCATGGGCTATAGTGAGCCCGTAATTATAGCGAGGGCAGGTCGCCCACACACACATATACACACACACACTCTTGTTTGTATACGATAAGTCAATACCACACTATTGTATTGAAACGTCCTGGCAGATCCACTGACAGAACACTCTTTCTAATATTTTCCTAGAAATGAGCATTATTTCCTTGTGCTTACTTTATATCACTTATTTGGAAATACTTAACAGTAGTGTATTAAACTGTCCCCAGACAAAAAGCTACACTGAACTATAAAAAAACAGGATATTTTGAATCTGGAAAGGATGTGCGTGACACAGAATTAAGCAGCCCGGGACAGCTGATAAAACCCGTCCTCGACTCAAGTCCATTACATCCAGCGGTCGACCCCACAGACGCATTCATAAATTTTTACATGCTGTTCATTCAAAACGGGAATTTTCTCAAATATAAATTAATATTATAATATATTAGCACCCGCCAAACCCCCTGTTTATGAATGAAAAGCGGTTTACACACGACTCACAACTGATGACGTCCGAACATTTCCGGAACAAGTGCTTCGCTTACGTCCTCTGTTCGAACTACAATTCTATAAATGCTTCACCCACGTACTACAAATATATATATAACAATAATTATACATAGAACTTTAATATAGTATAATATTAATTAATATATGAGAAGACGCCTATTTTTATTAATACGTTAAAATTTATGACTTCGTCTTGACGGACGGCAGCCGATTTACGAGCTTGGCCTGAGGACAGGTTCATTTCAAGAGCAGCTTATCAGTGCATTGTGAAACCTTGTCAAACCACTTATAATGATTCACCATCCTCGACAAACTATTTATTAAAGGACAGATCTGGTTCCACGTTATATTAAAAGGTTTGTAAAAGTGCCATGTAGATGTTCACTGCTTATAGCTAGTGTAGCAGACGACGTCGACTACTGCTAGGCTAGCTCCAGCACATCCTCCTAAAATGAAAGTACTTATAGTAGCATTTGAGTCGAAAGTGTGTCGTGATGGACCACCAGAAAGTAGACCTTTGTCTTATTAAATTTGGACAAATTGGAAACTTAATTAGCAACTTAAATATAAGACCTAACCTAACCTATCCTAGCATTCCTACGCATAATACATGTTATCTTAGGCCTAATATACGTTATCTATGGCCTAATATAGTGCATATTCCTAGGCCTAGGAATAATTAAGTTTGGTTTTTAGCTCAATTTTTTTCCAGACTCTATAAAGATAATAGTATAATAAGTGATTTACTGGAGCTCCAACATTACATATTGGGACTCACGACCAATAGTTACAAAAAAGTATTATCATTTCAGTAGCATGAGTTGCGGCGCTCACTGAGTCATGATAAGTGACCCAAAACCTGACTAGCCTAATAACATTTATCGCTTTAACTTGGTCATGGTCATGGATGAGACCCATGAAACATGTCTCCGTGCCCTCAGACACACGCTAGCCACCCCAGACATGTTCTCATGTTATAATGAGAACTTGCCAGGGCAAAATGTAGAGTAGACAAAATAGTGGTACACAATTGCTCGACGCTTCGTAAACGATTATGTCTGAGTTCGAGTCCTGGCCAGGGAGGTTTGGCTGAGCACCAATCCTTATATTTCGCTCTGTTCACCCAGCAGTAATTGGGGACGTGATTGAAAACCGATTGGCACATATTGTGGAAAACTACACCAAGAAAAACTAGTAGGATGAAGGCCTAGGATGATCTATGGAAAGGGAATGCTTTAAGCCTGCTCACAGGAATCAGAAGTTATCTACTCCTGATACCCAGTTGTATAAAAAGAAAATAATACCAAACTAATGAAACAGTTTGCGATTCGTCTATTATTTATATATTCAATATATACAAGAGTTCTTACATTCTTGTATTCTAATATCTTAAAGAAGGTAGATTCATACGCTGTACACTCAGTTATAATCACGAGTTAGAAGGTAATTATTCTTATTGAAGTTATTTTCTCTGTGATAATTACCTACAATCTCCCGTGACAAGATAATTAAGATGGGAGAGTGCACATATCTCACGGCTGCGTGTGTAGGATTACACATTCCGTTTCCTGAGTTCTCAGAACTTGTAGGCATTTTCCAGACAGCTGATCACTAGTCAGATTTTAATTAGTGTCAGCTGAACACTAGAGTTAGCTGATCTCTAGATTCAGTTAGTTACTGCAGTCAGTTGCTAATTAAATCACCCGTTCACTAGTCTGCTGCTCACCAGAATCTACTGCTCACTTAAATTAGTTGATACAATAAGAAGTCGTGGAAGCCACCTCTAGCCACAACTTCAAGTTGAGTTCGCTACTAGTCAGTCACTAGTCAGCTAATCACAAGTCAGCTGTTCACTAGAGTCAGCTGATCTGTTATCGAACAGCTGTTCACTAGAGTCAGCTGATCTGTTATCGAGCAATATGTTTTTAAGTTTAAATACCTAATCTAAAGAAAGTTTTATTGACAGATAACGCTCAGATAACTCATAAAGATGCCGTTCCCATATCAAAGGATATACCGCAAGCATAATGTGGAGGAAGTTGGTGGGTATGGGGGAGGGTGTTGGAGAGGGGGGGGGGGTAAGTTTATTGAGGTAAAATACACACAAAGGAATGAGGTAGCTCAAGCTATTCTCACCCCGTTCAGTACATCGTGTTAATACATACATAGACACGCATCACAAGCAATAAACGTATTACCGAACATTCTGAGATAAACATATACATTTCCTCCTTTACACAAGTAAGGGAGGGGAAGTGTTGCGTAGTGGAAGGTGTAGACTGCCAGCCCGTCCTCCAAACAAAGACCCAAAAGTGATTCCATGCACCCGCCAAACCCCCTGTTTATGAATAAAAAAAGGTTTACACACGACTCACAGCTGATCTATAGTCGGCAGATCTATAGATGTTCCTATATAGATATATAGAAAGAACGAAATCTATAAATGCTAATATTTCTTAAAGCTTTTAATTTAGGCCGATCCTGACCATCCTGCAGTATATACGTCCCGTATCCCAGACCATTTTCCCTGCAAAATTAGGCGAGGTTAGCCCCAAGCATCTGACCTGCAACCTTGGACAGATATTCTCTTTTATAGATACAGATAGTGATCAAATCTATAACACTGGTCTACAGCCAAAATACTTCTGAAACAAAAGAAGTCTTATCTTCACTGACTAGATCTGGAACACTGAGAGTGGAAATGATGAACAAATCCACAAGGGCCGTGATGAGGGTTCGAACCTACGTGCTAGAGGATCCCAGACGCGCCTTAATCCACTGTGCCACGATATGGTAAAATAATTGCAACCGGGAGTTCTACTGACCTCACACGGATCCTCACATGAGGTCAGTAGAACTCCCGGTTGCAATTCTTTTACCGTGTCGTGGCACAGTCGATTAAGGTGCGTCTGGGATCCTCTCGGACGTAGGTTCGAACCCCTCATCACGGCCCTTGTGGATTTGTTCATTTGATGCATCACGCTATTGTGATTTCTGTGTGTAGTGTAGTAGAGTGGAAATGATGTTTAAATTGTTTATTAGCTCTAGTTTCATTCAAGACGAGTCTTAAGGCTGTTCTGCTGCATAAAGGGAGTGTTTCCCCACAAATGTCATGGTTATGCAGCCCATATGAGGGAAACTTGTGACAACAAGAAACAGATTTTGAGGTGCATAAACTATGACCAACATCACTGCCAACTCTGAGGCGACCTGAAGGTTTATGCGCTTGTGACAGGTCTGCAGGATTTGATTGATTGTTACCGCTATGTTGTTGTTGTTAAAGATTCGCTACCTGGAACAAAAAGTTCCAAGTAACACGGGCTATGGTGAGGCCGTATATAGTTATATAATATATATATATGTTGCCGCTAGAGGCAGCTAGTTTATTCTGCACCCCATACTCATTCCGTGAGCGGTAGTGTAAAAAGGATTTACAAAGTACTGCTCTTTTCTTTGTGAGTGGGATAGTTGTGCGATAGATTCCGACTATGGCTAATACGTCCATCATTGGAGGACGTTATCAATGAGAATAATGAGGCTAGGTAACAATGAAACCTAGGTTACCTAGCCTCCACTGGGCAACAAGGGAGTTAATTGAGTCACTGATAGGGTTAGTCAGGTCTGATAAACCACATAGGGAGATAAATTTATTGAGGTTATCCTCATTTGATATCACAAAGATTTTCCCTTTAGGAGTTTTCCTCACTTTTATTATGCCATCTGAAGACATGACACTGATGGATCTCTCCCTGGTGTTTTGTATACGGATTTGCCACAGACGATAGAGGAATTCCTGCCTTTTCCTGGTCAGACACTCCTTAATGTACACCCCTTTGTTAGAGACTGCTTGGACAAGATCGGTTTTTAGGGAATGGGTATCTAGTATGAGGCGAATTTTTTCTTTGATTTTGACCTGCTGGATTCTTTTTGCCTACTCTATAAGCAGCAATTATGTTTGTTTTATTGATTTCATAACGCACTTGATCTTTTATGATAGCGTGTACAATGTCTATACACTTCTCACCTTTGGTTTCCACAGGGACGGCTGAAGATGGCACGCTAACAGTCCTGTAACTTTTGCTGGTCTTGTTCGTCCTGGGAGATATATTGTTGGGCGGTTATAGTACTGATGCATGCATTCATTTTGTTTATCGCCTTCTCGTTTTTTTTATGAAATCGTTGGTTTTCAGATGCGTATTTTCTTCACGGAGACGGTCTTAATTTAGAATAGAGGAAGGTAAGGTGTACTTAAGACTTAGCTGGTGTTGATAGTTGGTTGAGCGTTTGAAATGTAGTGTTTCGGCTATGTATAATCTTTGATTATCGTTGTCTCGATTATTTCAGTGTTGTTGGTCAGGATATCTCTGATTGTGTGCATCATTGAAGTAAGCTTTGATAAAGTCTTGTCCTTGGCTAAGAAAACCTCGATAAGCCTAATAGGCTTCATAGCCCCGATGATGGGATACCTTACAAAATATATCATCATAAATCTTGTGTAGCCTAATGCTTATGATGTTACAGCAGAACAGAATAGTAAATTATAGCCCCATAACCTGAACTGATTTTTCACGGTTATCCGGCTTCAGTGGACCGCCAAGGGATGCACCTGCATGTGTGGACTTAACATAATTGGATATTAACATAATAGGTATCTATACAACAATTATACAAAGCTAACCCATCTTCCTGGTCTTCCACAGATGGAGGGGAGGGAAAGACGCTCTTCCTTAGTGTCGCAAGCGTCGAACGACTGTACTGGGCCACCCAGCAGTTTAACAAGCGAGCAACCCACCAGTGTGGCGAGTGAACGACACACTAGTATGACGAGTGGGTTGCACCCTAGTATGGCAAGTGGATTGCACACTAGTGTGGCGAGTGAACGACCCAGGGGGATTTCGGTCATCTCAGCCCACCGGACGAGGCGATCCAGGGCTCTGTCTGTCCTCTCCTCCTTCACCAACCGGAGTCACAAGTCTTCCACTTATGGTAAATACTCAGGTTATATGTTCAACAAGAGAAAAATCCGTGGTATAATATTGATGGCGGTAGATGCATCTGAAGAGATATTTCATATATGTAATACTGATTGTAACGTTTGGTGTGCATAGAGATTGTGGAGATGCCCGGAGGGGCGGTGATGCTGACTGTGGACGATGGTGAGAGCGACGGGTCGTCTGGAGTAGGATCAAAGGACAGTATGTTTGGCGCCAGTACGATAGGAGGGGTCACCTCCGCCCCAGACACCTTACACCTCGACAAAATAATCAAGAAGGAGATAGTAAGAGACAGCAATTATCTGATTTTCTTAAATAATTGCACACATTCTTTCTGTTGTTGACCAGACCACACACTAGAAGGTGAAGGGACGACGACGTTTCGGTCCGTCCTGGACCATTCCCAATCGACTTGAGAATGGTCCAGGACGGACCGAAACGTCGTCGTCCCTTCACCTTCTAGTGTGTGGTCTGGTCAACATACTTTAGCCACGTTATTGTGATTCTTTCTGTTCCTTTCCATCATATGCTTTTTATTTCACAGACAAAACAGGTTAGGCCACCTGTTGACTAGTGACGGGTCAGGATACACAAAGTATTTACGTGTTCACTTATTAGATATATATACCTCTTGTCTCGATTATCGTGGCATAATCGGTATATACCAAAAATGTTTACGATCCACGAAGCGCTATGAGATCGTTCTCATAACTTGCTCAATAAATACAGACTAAGACGTCATAATGGAGATAAGAGAAAAGGATGTAGTAAGTGAACTCACAAATGCGTTGTGAATTGTGGCCTTTCCACCGACTTAATCACAGTTAATGTATTGAATTCTAGGCCCCCTAAACAGTAACACTCGCCAGCATGCGCGCAGAAGGCTTGGTCTGACGCTAAAATACGAGGGGAAAAGAATAAAACTAAATTATAGTGACATGAGCAAAGTAGTGTAACATGTCAGACAAACAATACATGTTACTACCTCAGGACAACACCGAAGCATAAATCTTACTAGACAATGAACGCAGTGTTTTCTAGCAAGATATGCCAATATTGTGTTGGTTCTGTAGCCTAATCTTTCAGTGTAATAATGGAATCATCTTACAAATATTAAACACACAAATGTGTGATATTACTGGCCCTAACCTTACAATTCAGCAGATCTACGTACTTGCTACAAATGATCTTAATATTTGTCAAGACGTTCTATGTATACGCACCAAAAGTCCTCATTACCTTTGAGTGGTGATAACACGTGGTGGTGTGTGCAGGCACACCACAGCCCGGCCGTGGGCAGGGAGAGTGTGGTGGAGGACGAGCCGGGGATCCCGACCGTCGACCCCGGCAAGAACGTGGACGAGGAGGAACCACTGCTAGCCTTCGGTCCTACCAACCTCCTGCAGCACCTCTACCTCGCTCTGGCGTCTCCAGCGCTCTTCAGGCTCCCTTCCCTCGCCTACAAGTGGAGCAGCGAGAAAGGATGTAAGTTGGAACTTTGCCTTCGGATATGAAGGGAATCAGTGAGCACATAATAACTATAGTCAGCATGCGGTAGAAATGTCAGTAGGCAGCAGTAACTGTGTCAAGGATTACTGGTGAGGATAAGACGCGTCAAATTGTGTTTTATGAAAGTTTTGAAAAATAACTGGCCAAGTTTGTTGCCTCTTCTCTGGTTTTGTTTACATTAGTGAATTCCTATTTTGTGCTAAATTTAAATTTAAAATTTAAATTTATTTATCAAACCCCGCATAACCATCCTGGGAGCGGTGTTAGAGACCTATCCAGTGGATGGTGCACGCCCACAAACCCATCCAGTGGGCGGTGTGGAAGAAGTACAACCTCTGTATAGCCTCATACTCAATACTCGCATTCGTTAAGCAAATTTATAGCGCTTAAAAGATTGATTCAGCAGCAACAGCTGGGAAAGTGTCTTTACATTATACAATACAGCAAATAATGAGTTCACTAGCTAATAAAGTTACACAAGTAACGAATTTTTCAGGTCAGCGTGAGCTGTTTTGCAAACTGACTAAGATTTTGGTTAATATCCAATGTTAAATATTTATCAAATGATAATATATATATCGCATACCAGGTATAAATTATTGCCAAAAATATAATAACTGACCGAAATCATAGCAAATTATTCTGACTTCAAATACCGTAAATTAGGTAAAATAACTGTAGATGTGAGGTTATTATGACTGCTCACTCTCAACCCTTCTCCAGCGGGCTTCTTCACCGCGTACATTGTGGTGATGGTGGGGATGGCGCTGCCCCTCAGCGTCCTGGAGCAGACCCTGGCTCAGTTCTCCTCCCTCGGGGTCATCACCATCTTCAGGTGTCTCCCTCTCTTCGCAGGTCAGTGCCTCTCTGCTCACAGGTCTGTGCCTCTCTCCTCACAGGTCTGTGTCTCTCTGCTCACAGGTCTGTGTCTCTCTTCTCACAGGTCTGTGTCTCTCCTCACTCTGTATGTCTGTGTGTGTGTGTATTTACTATTTGTATTACTGTTTGTGTCTGCAGAATCGAGCTATTCGCTCTTGGACCCCGCCTTTCTAACCAATCTATTTGTTTTCTCTATTATATCTACCACATATATTTCTCTCTAACACACACACCCATCCCCAGGAAGCAGCCTGTAGCAGCTGTCTGCTCCCAGGCATCTATTTACTGCTACGTAAACAGGGGCATCAGGGTGAAAGAAACTCTGCCCATTTGTTTCCGCTTCCGCCGGGAATCGAACCCGGGCCATTAGGACTACGATATCCAAGCGCTGTCCACTCAGCCACGAGGCCCCCCTGTGTTTGTGTGTGTGTGTGTGTGGGCGTGCAGGTGTGTGTGTCACTATAGGCGTACCTGCCACAACAGGTGTGGGCGTGGGAATGGTCGCGACGTGCGTGATACTGATGGGGTACAGCAGCACGGTGTTGACCTGGGCAATGCGGTACACATTCGACTGCCTCCACGAGGACATACCGTGGGCCGCCTGTCCCAACAACAGCAGCATGTGTTGGCCCGGGCCAGGCCCCGTGCCCAGTGCTGGTAACTCCTCCTATCTCTACACCCCGAACGATTTCTACTTCCTGTAAGTACTGATGTTCTACTCTTGGCTCTCTGGTAATAAGACAGGTGTATACACACACACACACGTACGTACGTCATGAGAGTCAATGGAGTTGGGTTCAATGTTTCAGGGCCTTTATTTATTTACTAGGACGGGTACCCGGCGGTGCCCGGGATAGTCTGTCTCTCCCACCACCCCCAAGTCCACCCCTCTTCTTTCCACGTGAGCCAACAGTTGTGGAGCTGCACCTTGGGAACGGTCAGTAGTTCGACCTTGGGTGGACTTCGATATAAGCTTAACGTATATATATACAGGCTCTCTGTTTCAGCACCCTTCTCAAATTACCTCTCCCTTATTGTCACGGCCTCAAGACTTCCTCTAACAAAAGGTATAAGATTATCTTCCACGACCCTTTGAAACTGTGATTATTCCAAGGCTTTACAGTACATTGTTGGGAGTGGTTTATTATACGAGTGCGTGCAAGTCTGACTCGCCCTTTTACCTGTGGCAGGAACAGTGTGCTGGGGTTAGTGAGCACCGAGGCAGGGCAGGAGGAGGGCCAGTGGGTCATCGCCTCACTGGTGATGATCCAGGGATTGTTGTGGGTGTCCCTGCTCTCCCTAGTGTCGCTGGGGGATGCGTGGCGAGGGGGTACCGTCTCCAGGGTGTGGTCTCTGGTCACCTTAGCTACCCTCATCACACTCATGGTGACGGGGCTGGAGATAACGCAGAGTGACGAGGGCCTTCGCTTCATCTTCAGCTGGAGCGCTGAGGAACTCCATCTTCCGGATATGTGGCTTGACGCTCTAGGCCAGGTGTGGGTCCTTCTCGTCTCTTGCCGTCTGTCCATATAACATTCCTCGACATTTTTCTCGTTTTCGAAGTAAATACAATCACAATAAAATGACATATATGTGTCACTGATAATATTTATCGAATCTAAAGTCAGAATTCATATAAAAAACTAGTTTTTCAATATTATATCTTTGGCAATTATGTTCAAGTGCAATTATCTATGATCACAGATAAATATTTACGCGTCCGTTACCATGATGTTTGTTTTGTATTTGGGATAAAGACCAATATTCCTGGGAGCATGAGGTAAAGCCTACTAAGCCTTTGACTGTTCCACAGATAATGTGGTCTTTGGGACCCAGCCTGGGCCTCCTCATCTCCAGGACCAGCTATAAACGCTTCAGAGACAATGTGAGTTCCTACTGACATCTTTGTTTTCTTTAATCTTTCTCTTTTTAAACCAAACGTGGGCTCAGTAGGAATGGCACTGATATTGCTATATTTCAACAACACCAGTGAGGTTGCGTTCCATCAGCAACACTTTCTTACACCTGCTGGGAATGAGTCTTTTGGGAGTGACTATGGAGGATGTTAAGGACATTGTGACTGACAAACTCCAGCTGTTGTTGTTGTTTTAGATTCAGCTACTCAGAACAAGTTCCAAGTAGCACGGGCTATGGTGAGCCCGTAACTTACCTGGCACAGGAGCGGGGCAGGTAGCACAGGGGCTATGGTGAGCCCGTAACTTACCTGGCACAGGAGCGGGGCAGGTAGCACACGGGCTATGGTGAGCCCGTAGCGGACTTACCTGGCACAGGAGCGGGGCTGTGCACTGCTGAAAAAAAACTCCAGCGCTTGGTAAGCCTTATCTGTCGTGCATCGTATAGCAGGTGTTGACCTCCACCTTGTTGTGCTTGTGGGCTTTGCGAGCTCCAGCTCTTTGGTCCCTCCTCTCAAACTTCAGTACGAAGGAAGGATTGGAACAGGGATTTCCTTAAGTACTTTCGTATTTAATAATACATCTTCAGAAGGATCCGCACCGACATCTAGGTATTTTTGTACCTTATGTCTGGACTCCTCTTCCCAGAATCTCGCTTCATGACCTTGCATTTGTTCGAGTTATAACCTCAAGTAGCCATTTGTTGAAGCAGTCTTTCAGTTTGGCCAGGCCATCCTACAGTTTATTGGTCTTTGATCGTTTTAATCTGCCTCATAATGTGTGTATATATCAGGTAACATTTTATGTACACCACACACAAGAGAGATCTTAATGATGTGGGATGCCACTGGCAGCATCTCATCACTGAAATCTCTCCTTTCACTGATAGGCTCTCAATGAATGTCTCATTGTGCATCTTATAGTCACCAACGTACAAAAACAAAATACTATCAAAAGTAGCAGCTTAAAAAAAATCCCATTTTCTATGGGTCAGTAAGTTAGGTGGGTTGCTTGAGTTGGTAAGACTTCTGGTTGGGTTAGCATCTTGTATTTTAGATACGTTTATGGCAAATCGAAAGAACGAGTTGCTTAGATACTCCTGTATTTACCTGAGGGCCACTTTCTTTCTACTGGTGTCGACGAGGACAGGAAGCCAGCGGCGTGTCAGAGATCACCCCATTTGTCCTGATCACGTTCCTGCCACTCCTGCAGCAACCCGTTCTCGCAAATTTAATAAGTCAATATTGACTTATTAGTTGCGTGCATAGGTGACATACTAAACATAATAGTTTCCCTTGAAAAGCTTCATAGAAAACACCGACCTTACCTAACGTACTTAGTATGTTAAAATAAGCATCTTATAGCTTCGTAATTACAATTGTTACTTAACCTATTATAGGTATAGGTTAGGTAATAATTGTAATTACGAAGCAATAAGATGCTTATCTTAACATACTAAGTAGGTTAGGTAAGGTCGGTGTTTTCTATGAAGCTTTTCAAGGGAAACTATTATGTTAAGTATGTCACCTATGCACATATTTAATAAGTCAATATTGACTTATTAAATTTGCGAGAACGGGTTGCCTGCAGAAGGGTAATGTTTCTGACAGCCTTCAACTATCACCCCGATGTACTTTCTACCAAGTGCTTGACTCCAAGTGTGAGATGTATAAATAGGATTTTAATGCCGAAGTCTTCTATTCTTAACTCTGTAATTGCAACTATCTTAACTCTGAGATGCTAATATCTTAACTTTGGAACGTTATGTTATTCTCCATCTTCACAACGCGATAATGCTGATATTACCCGGCTATAAAAGATAACTCTGAGTACTTGGGTGTTCCCAGCGCCCTCGTGCTCGGCGGATACAAAAAAAATTCAATACACATCATCATTACAAAATTCAATACACATCGTCACATCAACAATGGGCTCGAGATCGACCACAAGTACAGTTTCTAAATCAAGCAACTGACATATGTGGAGAGCTAGTGTCACCATTGATATGTTTGTCCTGCACACCGCCCCCCATCCAGTGGGCAGCGGTGGATAGGCTACAGTCCAGGCTTTGAGCCAACAGAATCCACAAGCCCAGACAACTAACACATGTACATATATATATCCCCTGCAGATACGAAAGGACGTGTACACAGCGATGGCGGCCAACTTGCTGGTGGCTGTAATTACTTGTCTGGCGGTGTTCCCGTATCAGGGCAAGTTTAACCTCAACGACAGCATCGAGAAGAGTAAGTAACTTTCTCAGGACATTATCTAGCGATCTGTATATATTGTAAGGCAGAATGTCCGTCTGTTCCAAGTTGGACGCCTAACCTAACCTAACCTAACCTAACCTAACCTAACCTAACCTAACTTTCACACATGAAGCATGTGGGGTATGGGAGTGTGGGGTATGGAAGTGTGGGGTATGGGAGTGTGGGGTATGGGAGTGTGGGGTATGGGAGTGTGGGGTATGGGAGTGTGGGGTATGGGAGTGTGGGGTATGGAAGTGTGGGGTATGGGAGCGTGGGGTATGGGAGTGTGGGGTATGGGAGTGTGGGGTATGGGAGTGTGGGGTATGGGAATGTGGGGTATGGAAGTGTGGGGTATGGGAGTGTGGGGTATGGGAGTGTGGGGTATGGGAGTGTGGGGTATGGGAGTGTGGGGTATGGGAGTGTGGGGTATGGGAGTGTGGGGTATGGGAGTGTGGGGTATGGGAGTATGGGGTGTGGGAGTGTCATACCGGGTAGGCGCAGGTATCCCATTTTAAGAAATATCAGCGTCAAACAGTTCTCCACCCCGTGCGATTTTCTTGAAGCCAAGTCTGAAATATTGGTTGTGTTGTCCGTAGACTTCTTTAATAGTTTCACCACTTATTTATTTATATACCAGAAGGTACATTGGGGGTTAAGAGAGAACATAGAAATGAAGTTGATTTTATATTCTTGTAAAGCCACTAGCACGCATAGCGTTTCGATCAAGTCCTTAAACTAACAGATAATTTTTAACTAACAGATAACTTTGTTACATAATTGTTCTGAGAGAGAGAAGGGGGGATATATGGGGCCAGATAAGGGAGAAGTGGGAGACTGGGAGAGATGGTGGAGATAGGAGGAGAGGGTAGATGTTGGGGGAGAAAGTTGGTGAGGGTGGGAGAGAGAGGGGAGATTGAAAGAAGAAGGAAAGGGAGGGAGATTGGGGAAGGGCGGGGAGAGACCCGGGAGCGGCCGGGTATCTGCCGGTTGCGCCACAAATACAATACTGTAGTAAAGTTACCAACAAATCCTTGTATTCACTTGTCTGCTAGTTAAAAAATACACAGTTTCCATGCTTAGCCATATTTAATTACTTATATCATGCCGAAGCACTAGGACTGGACGGTAGAACGACGGTCTCGCTTCATGTAGATCGGCGTTCAATCCCCCGACCGTCCAAGTGGTTGGGCACCATTCCTTTCCCCCGTCCCATTCCAAATCCTTATCCTGACCCTTTCCCAGTGCTATATAGTCGTAAAGGCTTAGCGTTTTTATTGATAATTACCTTCCCCCCATTGATGCATTAGTTGTTTCTGTATTTCATAGCCAACCTGTTCTTCAGTTTGTATGCATATATTTCTTTGCTATTAAATACAAATATGATTTTAACTCTTTATTTTTTAATTTGATCTATATGCAGCCATTGATTTTTGCATGTTTGATTTTCTAAGCAAATGCCAATAATAAATAACCCAAAATAAATTTAAACCGGATACGTGACCGAAACTAATAGTAAAATTTGAACACACGAACATAAATCGAGTTTATAAAATTTAACGAAAGATAACGACAATAATGTTCGAGTAGGTTTATTGAAACAATAAAATACATCTCAAAGGGATAGACTAGCTTAGGCTATTTCTACCCCTGAATAATGTTATTTCTTCACGGGGGAGACATCTTCCGTCACGCAGGGTGCAGTCGCACCTCCACAGATCTCCAGTATCACCTCTTGATACTGGTAATGGCTCAAAAAGGGCCACCACTTACGGGCTATTCATGCCCGTGCCACCTTTTGGGTGGCCTAATCTTCATCAATCATCTTCAATCGTTATTTCTTCCCACAGCACCCGGGTACTTTTTCGTGATATCGTCGTTCGCGGTGAGTCACCTGCAGGTGCCTCAGTTGGGAGGCATCCTGCTGTACCTGGGGATGTGCAAGGCCCTCCTCGACCACACCCAGATGCTGGTGTCCACTCTCGTGGTGAGTGTGTCTGACCTCCTGCCCGTCAAGTTCAGAAGCGGCACCCGACTCTTCGCTTGCAAGTTCCTGTGCTGTTGCTTGGGGTTCGTCTTCAGTCTTCCCTTCATTACTAATGTGAGATGTGGCTTTGATGTGGTGTTATGTGAGTACGCCCACATCTTGGTTACTGTAAAGGAATTGCTCAATTGCTAGATGTGTTTACATCAATTCTATACACACACACTTGCAGGTAGTAATTTTAATTAAATAAACAGAAGGAATGATAAAAAATTAAGTATTATACATGACATATTAGCAAATCAGTCATTAAATTAATCATTGATATATATAATAGCAAGACATAGGTTGACATTTAGGAGGTAAGGTAGGTTACATGGAGTTATCAAGTAGTACTTGGTTTCTCTTTCTTAAATTGGTTGAGAGAGGGACAGTCTTTGACGTGATTGGGAAGGACCTTCATTCCACATTTTGGGACCCTTGATTTGCAGAGCATTTCTACCTTGGTTAAGTAGCACTCTTGGAATACCAAATAGATATTTGTTTCTAGTGTGGTGCCCATGGGTTCTGTTACAGCCCTCTAGGAAGCACATATACCACACAAACATACTCACCCTTCCTTTCAGTGCTCTCTAACTAGCCATGGGTACACTCCTCAGGAGGGGATCTTCCTGATGGAGGCCGTCGACGCCTACGTGCCGTGGATCCCCGCCCTGGTGCTGGGGACGCTGGAGGTGCTAGGCTTCGTCTACCTGTACGGCGCCAAGAACATCAGCCAACATTTTACACTGATGATGAGGAGCAAGCCAGATTACTTCTACTTCGTCTGGAAGTTCTTCCTCTTGCCTACATTCTTGGTCAGTTCTCAGGCTCTTTTGAACCCTACATCTCACATACAGTTGTGCTGACAAAAATACTGTAGACGGATACAGAGGCACTCAATGTGTCAGCCACAAATAATAGTAACTATATAGTTACTATATATTGTAGTTAATAGTAACTATTTAGTAACTATATAGTTACTATGGATGAAAGTACAAAATATGGACTGTTGCGGCTAAAAAAGTAAACTTTTTTTGTTATTAATTGCGTAGAGGGCCCAAGAAAGATGGAACTTAAAACCAAATCTAGCTTTTTCTAGGCCCAGTATATGTACTAAATTATGCCAAAGATTGCTTCTTTTACGCCTAGGATTGATTGTGTGGGCCTAGGATAGGTTAGTTTAGGTTAATTATGTCACACCTTTTGGTATGCAAATATTGATTGCATGTATGTATATTTATTATTTGTGCTTGCAGGATCGAGCTGTTAGCTCTTGAACCCCGCCTGTCTAATTGTCTAATGTTGATTGTCCTGTTGACAACCTGTTGGTTGTCTAATGTACTGATTGCCGACCAATTTCTCCTCTATCATATCTGCTCTTTCACACACACATCCCCAGATTACAGCCCGTAGCAGCTGTCTAACTCCCAGATTCCTATTTACTGCTAGGTGAACTTGAAATAGTTCACTTCAGAGGCATCAGGTGAAAGAAACTCTGCTCATGTGCTTCTGCCTTGACTGGGAATTGAACCCTCAATAGCCTCATGTGCTGACATCAAAACTACATCCCTCAGACCCACGGGATAATGATTGGAAGCTCCTATAAATAACCACATATCCGTACGATTTTTGTTTCTGGCCAAGAGACTCACTTTCCTTCTACGGTGGTGGCGCAGGGGCTGCTGGTGTGGGTGAGCGTGCAGGGGGTGAGGGGCCCGGTGACCTGGGGCAAGATGCAGCTGGAGGTGTCTAGGGAGCAGATGTACCACTGGCTGGGCTTAAGCCTGGCTATGCTGCCTCTGGCCCTCGTCGTCCTCAGCACGCTAGTCCTCCTCCTACACCCTCGGCTGGTAAGTGGCGCCCTTATCCCTTCCTCACAACTTTCACCACAATTGTCAATGTGTAAAATTTAAATATTGTATCCGCATGAAATGTATCCACATGAATTGCTAATGTATGGAAGTATTGTAATGTAATCCAAAAATATTTCTATACAACTCGTTTCTTAAGCCAGTATTACATGAAAATTACATTACAAATGTGATATCATCAACCACTTACATTCCTTTCCTCCGTCCTCACCCAAATCCTTATCATTATATCACCTCCAAGTGCTATATTGGCGTAATGGCTTAACGTTCTCTCTGGATAATTACCATACCTAACAACGGAAAAACCGATGCAGTTGGTGTCTTTAGAGATAGTCGATGTATGCAAGCCGAGAAATATCGACCATGTTGGTTCTGGATGCTTCTAAGCCCGAACGCATGCGGACTCTGAACAGAAAAGATCGTTCATGTTTTAATGTTTTCCTTTTGATATGCACAGTCGGTGAAATCACTCCTAACGCCCCGGGAGACGTGGGGCCCGGCGCTTGCGCAGCACCAGGCCCTTTACACTCCAGGGATACTCAGGGCCAAGAAAAGGGCCCCCTACCTCATCGTCCAGGTATGTGGTAGCCATTTTTTATCGTCCGGGTATGTGGTCCACCTTACCTCATCGTCCAGATATGTGGTCCCCTCTACCTCATCATCTAGGTACGTGGAGGCCCCTATCTCATCGTTCAAGTACGTGGACGTCTACCTCATCATAAAGGTTCGTGATCACCCTTACCTCATCGTCCAGGTACGTGGCCCCCGATCAGCAACCCCCCCCCCCCCCCCCCGGTCAGTGAGGCTAGCGAAGGGCACAAGTAGGTTGATGTTGGAACTATCAGCTTTTACAATGGAGTGCCTGTTGCCGTCCTCTGCCTTCTCCAGTGAGATATTCTTTGTAGTTTGGTATTATATATTTGTACCCATTTGTGATACGAATACCATATATAGCAGCTATTTGGAAAAGTATTTGCAATAGATTTTTGTAATTTATATATTTTAACAGCATTAGGGGCGGTCACTAGGTGTAAACAGTTATTTTATATAATCAAAATAAATAAATCATATAATTCACTTCTATATTAGTATTTTATTTCGTTAATCCATGTTTAAATACCGTTTTGTGCTTACTATTTCTTTTTGGTCATGTTTAAATGTAGATGGATGATTCAGAAGAGGCGAGTGGGAAAGATTGGCTTCCTTATGGCTATTTCTGGGTGCCACCGAAGTCTTCTGGGTCGTACATGTTTGTCTCCTCTGAAGACCCAACTACCAAGTCTAAGATTGTCAAGTATCTTAAGGTAAGGTGTAAAGGAGGAAATGTATATGTTTATCTCTCAGAATGTTCGGTAATATGTTTATTGTTTGTGATGTGTGTGTCTATGTATGTATTAACACGATGTACTGAACGGGGTGAGAATAGCTTGAGCTACCTCATCCCTTTGTGTGTATTTTACCTCAATAAACTTATTTCAATTTCAATTTCAATAAGGTAAGGAACTAGAGATTTGAAATTGTTTCAGTCGTACATGACCTAACTTTCTGTGAAGCTGAACGCAATACATAACTTTGTATTTTAAATAAGAATACAGCTAACTTAACACGTAGACTACAAGTGATAGGAAGGAACAAATCCATCCTCCAAAATGACAGTATACATAGCGATTATGGGAACTTTGTACAAATGATAACATACATTCGAGGGAACCTTGTGGGCACCCACATATATTTATGTATATATTGTCTTCTACCACTCCCCTTTTTTTAAGCTTTATTTTACAAAAAAAGGATTGCTTATAAATCTGAAACACAGAGAAAAATATATTACTAGCTGTACAGTAGTTCTTTGGAGATCCCGCATGTTAAATTTCCAGTCATACCCAAACAAAAGATTTTGCCATAATGATTATTCGAAATTCATCCTTCGCTTGTTTTTAAAAATTATTAAAACAAAACAAATACTCATTAGCATACAATTAAATATTCAGGATGGTAATGGCACCGTATATAGGATATCACATAATTTACAAATACAACTGCAAGCTCTTTGATACGATCATAAATGAATGTAAATATTGTTCCTACCTTCAGGCACAGAACAGATCTAACACGGTCTGTGGGTGGAGAGTGGAGAATTATAACGACGAGGACGCTCATGCGACTTCAGAGGGGAACCTCATCAGTAACGTTGACCGCAGCAGGCGCTACGGGGTCACCAGCCTCGCTGGTACTGACTTTGAACGCTCAAGAACCGCCTCCTTTACTTCCATCTCCGCCGGATTGGTCCTTCGGCCTAATAACGTGGCGGGAATAGAAGGAGAAATTCAGCCGGTGGGCAGCAACTCCCACGATAATCAAGCTTATGAAAAGTGATGTCTGAAAAGTGTGTTCATTCTGTAGTAAATGCTAGGCTATTTTTCTTCATTTCCATAATTTAATTTATTGGAATAATATTCAAATGAAACTAATGATTATGCTAAATTAAGCATATAAACATCAGAACCAGTAAAATGAGTCAGAGAACGTTAAAATAACATTCTCTTGGTGACTGACCACAAGGAACAGACCGACACAGGAGACTCATATGGCTGGTATGCTCATCGACCGTGAATGATGTAACTTACTACCATGGTAGATGACAGCAAAGATTATCCTCCAGGATGACTGAAGCTTATCTTGGCACTTAAAACAATCTGATATGGCATTTCATACTGCCGTCACCACGTTAGTTAGAGATACCATAACAATTAGTTAATTCCTGGCTTCAAAGCTATATATATATAGTTCAGGGTTGATTTAGCCTTTAAACAAATTATAAGCATCTAGTAAAAAGTATCTGCTTAATACTTTTAGCCACATCATTTGATAAATTTCGTATGTTTCTTTATTAATATCAGTATATCATGCAACACAAGCGTACATTGCCAACAGCTCAAACGAAAAGGCTTTGATCAAACTGGACTTCAAAAATGCCTTTAACGTGGTCAGAAGAGATTCAGTGCTCTGTGCTGGACGTCACCATTTCCGGCCTCTCTACCGATTCATTCTATTGTGCTTCGGTGGTGAATCAAAATTGTTCTTTGGCGAACACAAAATCAGATCAAGTGAAGGTGTCCAGCAAGATGATCCTCTAGTTCCTCTTTTTTCTGCTTTGTCTTAAAAAATCACAGAAAGCTTGTCTAGCGAGTTTAACATCTGGTTTTTGGACAATGGCACTATTGCTGGCCTCCTAGACCCCCTCTTGGAAGATATCCGAAAAATAAAGGAGCAAGAAGTAAACCTGGGTCTCTCCCTAGACCCCTCCATGTGTGAAGTAGTCTCCTCCAACCCAGACATCATATCTAGAGTAAGATCCGTCTTGCCCGGAGTCTATGTCATTAGGCTTGCGAATGAGACCCGAAGGGTACTTACTTTGCCCCCCCCCCCTCGGGTCTAACGACATTGACGAGATCCTTAATAAGAAAATCACGGACCTAAGGAGGATGGAAGACAGGATTGGTGACATCGATGCTCATGATGCTTTTTATCTCACTAGATGCCTGAGGAGATAACCTACTTTTTTGAGGCGCGCCTCATCTTACAACAGCCCAACGCTTAGAGAGTATAACTTCCTACTGAAGACCATGCTAGAAAAAATTGTCAACCTTTCCCCTCAATGAGTGTCAGTGGAAACAAGTCACTCTTCCAGTCAGACTCGGCGGCCTTGGCGTCTGCATTGCCACCCAAATTGTTGTCCCGGTCTTCCTCCTCGGCATCGGATGATCTAGTCAATAAAATTCTACCAAACAACCTGGGCGACTCAGCAGGGATACATGAAATGCAACACAAAATGGGATATCCTGACAGACCCAGCATTCAGACCAACCCTGCTGAAAGCCAAGAAACAACCCAAATGGGACAGCCCATTGTAGACAAAGAAGCCACAGTTTTGCTGGAGGCAGTAACAACCTCCAGTGATCGTGCGCGCCTCACAGATGTGCGGGCTCCTCATGCAGGGGACTTCTTTTTGGCAGTCCCTATGTTTGCGACAGGCAAACATAGGGACTGCCTGTCTTGATCCACAGCAGCTCCATATTGCAGTCGCCCTCCGTCTTGCTGCCTCAATCCACACTGTATATAGGGGTATTTGCGGCAAGGCAGATGCAGACGAGTATGGATCACTGTGGAAAATCAGGCGGTTGGCACTTACAACACGACGAAGTCAGTGATATCATTAAGAGGAGCCTTGCCTCTGCCCAGTGTCCAGCAGAGAGCCTCTCACTATTGAACTGTAACTTTGTTATCTTTGCTGGCCAACCAGATGGAATCACACTGCGCCCATAGAAAAATAGCAGACAATTAACGTGAGACTTTACTTGCATATCCACCTTGACAGCCACATACATCAACCTCTCTGTCGGTCATGCAGGAGCCGTGGCCACACACAGAGAAAGAGACAAATCAACCAAGGACAGGTAAATAATTCGAACGAAGATAGATCACCGGTACAACTTCGTTCCAATAGGATCCGAGACCCTTGGTCTATAGGAAGAGTGTGCAAGGAGGTTTCTTAAGGATCTTGATTCCAGGCTTATCGAAACAACAATAGACCCCTAGAGCGGTAAGCTTTCTCTTCCAGCGTGTCAGTGTAGCGATCCAGAGGAAAAATGACCATTACATCTTGGGTTCCTGCCCGGTGTCGGAGGAGTTCGAAGAAATCTGCAGCCTCTAGGATACAAACTTCTCTTTATTTCCTCTTAATGTTCACATTTTGTAACCAATCAGCTATATTACAATGTAACCTGGTATAATAAAGTATACAACATTAATAATAAAAAGGGGTGGTAGGAGAAGCGAATACTCATATGTGTTTAGAGTCCAACGCAAAGATGTTCTCTGAATGCTCTTTTTTCCCTTCTCCGAGGCTATGGGTCTCCGTGAGAAATTATATACCTTCTCCCCTATATATTTCAAATATGCTGCAATAATGTTTTTCCTGATTAATCATATTAAACCGTGGTAACCGATGAGTTAGCCAAAACTTTGGCTCGTAAAAAAGGAATTATTACGATCTTGGATTGCTTCAGAAGTGTTTGACTCAGTGATTGTTTTTTTTATTATTAACACGCTTAGGTACACACAGCAATGTGCTTCTGTCCTAATTCTGTATGAGGTATTACAGAGTATAGATCAAGATCTAGCTATGAGTTTATCTAATATTCCCGTATTAAAGAATGGTTAGACATATACATGAAATGAAATACGATTGCGTGGCTAGCCTGATATTCAACGTTAGAATGTTTGCTTGAATTTTCCTGAGGGCCCACATTTTTCTTGTGGCTTCGGCCGGGACAGGAAAATGGCGGCTTGTCAAAGGTCCCCCCTGCCTCCCCCCCCCCCTCTATTTTTCTAGATGATTTTTTCAAACTGAATTTTGAATTGCAGTACGTCTTTAGCGGATAAACGGCTCCATGGGTTCACAATCCTATGGATGAAACGGCATCTCATGTTTTCCGTCCTATAGTGTGGCTTATTGAGGTTGCTGCATCTGTCATTTCTGGTTTTGGCGAAGGGAAACTAAAAAAAAATAGAGTTGTAAAACAAATCCATGACAACAAATTTAGGATGATGTACTGAGCATGGAACTGAATTTACAGAGTATTGGGGCTATAATTTCAGCCCTTAGTGAGTTACTGTAGATGTATTTTGGCGATTAGACTGAGAGGTGTGGATGCTAATGAAATAATCCATTCAGTTGAAGTAGGTAGAAATTAACAATGTATTTTGAGATACAATAATAGAGAATATATGAAAACTCTATTGTATATATTGCTAACAAAATATAATATCGTGTAGAATATACTTCGATACAAAAGAAACATATAACACCATTAGTAGAATGCAACGCAAAGGCAGCAGCCCCCAAGATATTGTTCTGCAACAAAATAACTGCTGTTGATGTATTGTACTTGCAAAGGGGGTCACATAAACATACTGGTGTTGACGTGACCTGTCGTGTATCTGAAACAAATTATGACAAGCATCAAGTTGATTTAAGAGAATATAGGAAAAGCCAAGGTATCTATAGTGAACAGCAGTAATACACTAAAACATTAAGCACGAACTCACCCTCTGCATGTGGTAAGGAAAAGTCCACATGGAAATGAACCAACGTACACAAGATTAAGATTAGGGTGTAAATATTACTGGCAATACAGTACCTATATATCCGAAAAAGATTATGAATGAAACTATACAGTATGCTCAAACACTAGAATAGATCATTACATGTTCTATAGATATACTGTTGAATGCCCCTCGCTCACACACAGGATCACAAGAACCTGCACATATAAATAAGTAAACTTGCAATGTATCACAAATTATATTGTTTGAAAATAGTACGATGAAACAATTCTTAAGTTCAAAAACTTTGCACCAAGGATGCAATGATAAACTTATTTAAATTAAATGTGCAATGATTGTAGTTTAATGCTGTTATTATGTACAACTGAATGGTTAGGGTGGTGACCACTGCTACGGTGCTGGAACCATGTGTATTGGCATTTGCCTTTCCATTGCATAATATCAGCAACGTGGAGAGGGGGGACCTGCTGCATGGGTAACAGCTTCTCCAAATCGACCTACCCAGGCTTTGCGCCCTGGAGCGCAGTTAACTCCATAGTCTGCAGAGACTGAAGGATGCCTACTACTACTATGGACAACTTAATTATAATAATTATGATATGTAATTAATTTATTTTAATTTAATGTAATAATTATAAGTCAGATGTATGTCCAGTGCAGGTTTATTTTTGAGCCTCCTGGCACTTCTAATAAACGAGTGATGTAATAGCTTATGCTATTCTATCTATTTTAAATGTATTTTATCAATAAATTTCATTGACCTTGAAGGATGCTTAGGGGAAGGAGAGGGTAGTCAGGGAGAGGTGAAGGCGGTCAGGGGAAGGTGAGAGTGGTGACCAATGAATGGTCAAGGTGGTGACCACTGATTGGTAAGGGTGATGATCACTAAATGGTCAGGGTGGTGACCACTGAATGGGTAGAGTGGTGATCACTGAATGGCAGGGTGGTGATTGCTTCGTTTTTTTTTCATTTGTCAGAAAGTTCTCACCAAATTGATTGGGAGAGGGCTTCCTCAATAACAAATTGTAAGACCATTTTCAATCGAAACATTATTAAATCTGCATTAATACATATTACAAAATCATGTAATTTGAACATTAGTAGTGAGCTGTATAGTATACACAGATCCATGGTCTATTGATCAGTTAAAGGGCGATTTGAGTGGACTTGATACCCATTTATCTCAATAATACCTTATTAATATCCCATTAAAGACATTGTTTCTCACCTCACCCCATTCCTGCCTAAATATCCGCACCACTGAATTGTAAATCCATCCTACTGAAGATGTATTATTAAATACGAACGAAAATACTTAAGGAAATTTCTGTCTTAATCGTTCCTTCATGGTCTGACACTGTTATCATATATATATAAAATACAGTGGTGGGATTAAAACAAACACAGAGGTTGGTAGGCCTATAAGGCCAGCACTAATACAATACCTGCAAATTATCCACTGCAAATTACCTCAAGCCTATCATCACTCAGCATAATCTGTTGTAATCTGTCAGAACTATAACAAAATCTGTTTTCAGACAACACACAATCCCTCTGTTTAAATTCCTTAACATGCTAAACATACACTCCACACATTCTTATGTGATATTTACATGTACAAAACCTTGTTCCTAAATGCTAATCTTTATCTGACGTTTCCTTGGCAGGTGTAACAGAACCCATGAGCACCGCCTCTTTGATATCCCCATTTAGTTCATTTATTATGCACCCCATACCCATCTTGTGGGGGGTGGATATCCACAGTCAGGCAAAATATGTGCAAACACTCCATGCAAATAAAAGGGCCCAGTCTTTGGAATTCACTCCCTCATGAATTAAAACAAAATTCCAACCTATACCTTGTTCAAAAGTAAAACCAAAAAGGACCTAATTACATCATCATACGTAGTTTCCTACCTTGTGCTTCCAACTCACACTGTTCTTGTACTACCCACTTCCCCAATATTACCATGATTACCAATATTACCATATTACTATTACCATTACTTAAGACTAATTAAGTACTTCATCTCTATCAGTGTAATCACCTCTGTCAATTTATATTGTTGATATAAAACCTTGCTACAATGTACCTTTTCACCTTACCTGATATGTTACATCAGGTAAGTGCCCGAAATGCTATGCGTGTTAGTGGCTTTGCAAGAATGTAAAAAATATCACTCTAATATAATCTCCCCAACCCATTGTACTTTCTTGTAAATAAAATAATATTATTATTATCATCATTATTATTATATGTTGGTTCAAAATGAGCGGGTGTTGTGGAGGTGAGCAGCGGCTACAGTAGCGGTGAGGCGGCCAGCTGGGTGCCTGCTGCTGCTGCCTCTCCTCCTCCGGTAATACTGCCTCTCTCTTACCTTTCTCTGCCTCTCTTTACTCTCATTAACATACCTCTTAACTCACCTGGGAACAAGTCTATGCTTCTTCATTTCCACTGGGTTATGGTGGGCTCTTTAACGATGTCTTAAGCGACACCATGAATCATCTTACACGATGTGTTGGGTACAGTGTGTTGAGGTGGTGTTGACGTATAATCCACTGGCTGTGGATTATAATGTTGTATTGACAAAGTTTAAGAAATGAGAACTTAAATGTTTGTGTGTGTGTGTTGACAGGGTATTAAAGGGTACGGGGAGTGTGTTGTGTACAGAGGAAGGTGTTTGTAATGACTCACTCACAGCACTGAAGCTGTTTACATTCCTGTGAGTAATCAACAAGAACAGTAATAGCTTCACTATTAGCATGTAGTAATAGGGTCCAACTTCTGACCCAAAACGCTCAGACCTTATCGTCATCAATGGTATCACACTGTCAGCAAATGTCACTGATTGCAAACATATTTTTGGTCTGTTTTAGGACAAAATGTTTCACTACTTTGCCTGAATTTGCATAAGGGCCACTATCTCTTAGTGACTTTGAAGGGGGACAGAAAGCTGGTAGCTTGTCAAGTGTTTTCCCCCCCATTACCTTTTATACATGTAGAATATGATCAAATCACACAAGTGTTTTGACAGCTGGTTTACTAATTATCAAAACTATATACAGTACATATCAAATCAAATGTTTATTCAGGTAAAAGTACCTACATAGAGGATTAGTTACATACATAATGTTGGATTTATACCTAGAGGTAGTACATACAGTACCTAAAGCCACTAGTATGCATAGTGTTTCGGGCAAGCGAATATATAATATTATATATTAGGGCATAAATATATAATTGGCAGGGCTAATAACACTGCAAACCAGAAATGACAGGGGCTGATCTCATTCAATCTTTTTAAAGTACTGTCCTGAACAATTTGGAGGATATTGATCCAGACGACTACTTCAGAAAGTAAAATGTAACACAAACAAGGAGCAACAGCTTCAAGGTAAACAAGTCACAATGTAGGACAGGAAATAAGAGATGCTTTTTCACCCACAGTTTTATAAACCTATGAAACCGCCTTCCCGCTGAAGCCTTAAATGCCAAAACACTGCTGAATTTTAAAGCATAGCTTGATAAAATTATCAGGACAAATGGGGGAGGGGAAGGGACCTTTGACAAGCTGCCGGCTTCCTGTCCTCATTAAGGTCACTAGAAAGATATTGGCCCTTGGGTAAACTATGGTAAGGTATTTTCTCCTACCAGAGACATGCTGGCATTCGTTGCTCACCAACATATATTATACACATTACCATCTGTCCTCCATGGACAAGTTAAAATTTTTACCATTGGGTTATTGACTACTTGACCACAGGCGATTAAATTACTCCCTTACAATGTGAGTGTATTAGGTTCTGTTGGGTTGACTTAATAGGTATGATCAAATTGTATACGACAGTTCAACAAAACTTGCTTTTTGGTTGTTAAAATCATATACGTACTGTATATCAATGTATTAGCTTACTGTAGGTTAGGCAATATTAGGCTTAGTTTGGATTAGGTTGGGTAAGGTTAGATAAGTTTTAAAATCCATTGGTAAACTGTCTTGTGTACTATGTGACTTCTATCCATTCAAAAAGTTTAAACCTCCATTGGTCTCTTTATCTAATGAAGCCTATCCACAATCTGTATGTTAGGAAGCTACAGGGCATTTAATTCTTAAGTTTTCTATTTTAAAATCTCCATAGATTAACCTAAACCAACCAAACTTAACACACACTGTTTTATTTGTTTTTTGTCATTAGTATTGTATACAGTAAAACAACTAACAGTACTGTATGATTATTTATAATTTGTCATTTAATTTAGCATATCCCTGATTTTAGTCTAATTTCTTGTCAGTTCAGTATCATGAATGAAGTTTGTTAAACTATTCATATTTTTTCTTGAGGAACTATTTGTGATTTGGTGCTTAACCTATTGCATATAACCAAAATTTCTTATTACAGGACATAACATCTGAAATGGAAGAAAATGGAGTAGCTAAAGGAAACCATCCCTCAATCTCAGATAAGAGTATTCATACTATTAGTGTTGATAAAGACTCCTCACAAGTTTCACCAATATCAAATCCTCCTGTATACCTGCCCTCACAAGATGCTGGAATTATGAGCAGTGAAAGCAAAACCGTGCAGGAGGAAGGGCAATATGTGAGGCGGCGGCATGCTGGGCAACAGGAAAAGGAGCAAATTGCAGAAGTATGTAACAGTAATGATGCTAGATTAGATTTGCTTGATGATCAGTCTCACACTCAGAGCAAGGAAAAATCTTGTATAGAAGAAAGAGAAGAGGTTGAAGATACTGGTTGTCCATCAGATGTATGTTTGATTAAGAGCAGCAGAAAAGAAGAGGCAGAAAGGGATGAAGTAAAAGAAATTACTGATGTGGCTGATAAGGAAGGAATTTCAGTTACTGATATTGTCAGTAATTCAAGCAGTGCAGAATATGTTACGCACACTCTCTCCTTCCCACTTACTAGTAAAAGCAATGACAGAGAGTCAGTGTGTGACACTGAGTCAGAATCTCAGTTATCAATAAGCCTGGTGTCAAGTTCGGACTTGTCTGGTGGAAAGGTCAAGAACAAAACTAAGAAGCATAAAACACCTAAATATGGTAAGGATGGGAGGAACTCCGATTCATCTGTGTCTTCAAAGAAAAAAGGAACTAGTAACAAAACTCGTATTAAATCCAAGTTCGCTCCTGGTAGTTTAGAATATATAGAAGAGAGATTATGTGGACGTATATTTTCTGGCTGGGTAGAAGAACGAAGGTGGGTTGAAAGTTTGCGTTCCTACCGGGATGTAATAGAAGTGGACGAATGGGAAATAGAAATGAACCAGCAACTTAAGGCCATCATCAGTAGCATCCCTGGTGTGTATGAAGGAACCAAGTGGATAAATTTAACTCGTAAGTCATTATTTGATTATCTTTTTATTTATTTATTTATATATATACTGTACAAGGTACTTTGGGTTTGTGAGACAATATAGCATAGATGTTTTTACATTCTTGTCAAGCCACTAACACGCATAGTGTTTTGGACAGGTTCTTAATCTAACAAATAATTTTAAATAGGTAATCTCTGACAAAATTGAAAATGACCCTGTTTACAGTCATTGTTTACACATGTATGTTTATACAGTACATACCTACAGTATACATTAGTCATTGACCCTGTATTGCAATAGATCAAGACAGCCAAACCTCATCTCCGATACATATGACTGAGAAAAATTTAATTCTCACTGTAAATTATGGTTTTCTGCATAAGAACTCGGGAATTTTACACTGTTCTTCATTGCAATATTTATTGTAGATGTATTTTGTTCCTAATAATCCCAGGAACTTTTTTTTTTTAATTTTCTGCTACTATGACTCGGTTATTTAACAGACAGTTCATGTTGGCTGTATGTTAAGACCCACAAAAGTGGAATCTGTTCACTATTTTTGTCTTAGGGTTAGGCATAATTTGCTTGGCATCAGCCAAAAATTCATGCTTTAGACCCCAGACCTCTCCTTAACTTGTGGCTGGGATCCAAGACTGTTAACTGTTATTTGCTCTAGTTTGCTGTATTTTTACTGCATCACAAGACAATGAGGGTTGGCCAAAACTATAACTGAAATACTTGTGCATCTTCAATATATCTAATTCTGTTGCTGTACATTGTTTCAGCTCCTGGGGAGAATTCATCATCCTACTGTTTGTGGATCTTGTTGCCAGCGCCTCCAATTCCTGGTCACTACTGGTACACAGTCACAGGAGTGCAGCTTGAGCCACTGTTTGGCCTTAGAATTTTAGTAAAAGAAATTAGGTGAGGAATATTGTGTGTCTTATTCTTCTGACCATAGTTGTTGTTGGTATACAAGTTCGCTACCATCACCACCATTACCTAGCACCACTGGTCAATAGTATCATTAATCTTTGCTCTGTTTCATACTTTTATTAATCATTGCTCTGTTTCATTTCTTCATTAAATGGGGAGAAACATCCAGAAGAAAGATAGGAGGGCATTATAACAAGAGAAGGTTAAAAGATGATCAAAATGACTCGTCTATTCAACTTGTATACTTGTGATCATACACTTAAAGTATGATCATTATCACACCAGCAAAGCAACCACAGTAATACAGCTGACTGTTAAATAACACAAGTTATGTTCCTGGAAAACGATGTGTTAAATAAAAGTTATTTTATTTATTTATTTATTAGCGGGTGGATGTTTATGAGTGAGTACTTGCCTGGTTGTGCTTACAGAGGTTGGGCTTGACTGATTGGTCCAGCCTCTCAACTGTCAATCAACTGGTGAAAGGTCAATCACTCAACTGAGTAATTACCTAAGTGTAGTTATAGGATGATTAGAGTTACGCTCGTGGTGTCACGTTTTCCCAGTACAGTACTTTTTGTTGTATAATGCTTTGAAACTGCTGATGTTTTTGGCCTCCACCACCACCTCACGTTCCAACCGTCTACCGCACTGTTTACAAAAGAAAACTTTCCAAGATATTTTTGGCACCATTGTTAACTGAGCTTGAATCTATGTTCTCTTGTTGTTTAAGTTGCTGGTTTCGGGAATTCCTATTTGTTAATTTGGTCAATTCCTGTTAGTATTTTGTAAGTGATCGTATCTCTCTCTCTATTCTATCTTCTAGTTTTGGCATGTTTAACACCTCTAGTCTCTCCTCGTAACTCTTATTTTTCAGTTCCAGAAGCCATTTTTTGCATGCCTTTGCACCTTTTCTTTGCTCCAGACATCTCTATTTACCATACAGTACATAAGTATTGTACCTGGTAGTTAGGCAATTGTGGATTGCATCCTGTAAAAGATCTGTCGTTTGCCTGGGGGGGACCTTGATAAGCTTAACAGGCTTCCTGTCCCCAGCAATGGGAACCATGACACCTGTCACAATAATGAGGCTATTTCTGAAATTATTTTATTTTTTGATCCACTGTACTTAATTTGCATAAAGAAAAGTACATCTGGTGAGATTTTGGGTGAAATAAGAAATAAAAATTGGCTTTAAAATTTTTTATTCTGTTAATGTGTACCTACTTTGTTAGATCTTGAGTTATGTCCACCCCAAGTCCTTTTATTTCAGAAGTGGGACAGTTGCCTTTGTTTCATCCTATAATGTATTTGAGGCCTTCCAATTCCTATTTTCATAACCTTGCAATTGTCAGGGTTAAAGTCTAGTAGCCATTTCTCAGACTATCTCTGGAGCATCTTGTCTAGTTCATCTTGCAGTCGTCCTCTGTTCTGATTTGTCTCATAAGCTAAGTATTGTCAACAAACATTAATATGAATGCACTTGCTTCCTCTGTTAAATTGTTTTTATAAAATATATTTGGAACAGTATAGGCCTAAGTACCAACCCTTGAGGTACTCCAGTCATTTCCTCTGTTCTGATCTCTCACCTCTTACTATGTCTGTTTTCTTCCTGAAGGGCACCCCCTGAAGAGCCAACCCCCCCCCCCCTTTGGTTTACGAGCCATCTCTGGGAACGGATTAAATTAGAAAACCACTGTATCAAGTTGTATATATATATTAACCCTTACATTGCTCCAATCACTATTTGGGATTACAGTATCTCCTGTGATTTTCCCCATTTGATTGATAATTTTTGTCAGGCACACCATGATGTAACACTTTAAAATAGTTAAGCAGTTCAAAGGTTAAGTGGGGTTCTGAATGACTAATTTGATCTATTTATGGCTGAAATTTGCAGGTTAATTCATCCACACGATGGAGAGACAGCTATAGCTCGACAAAAACGACACCAAAAGGTTACTCTGGGTAATTCCAACAGTCTTCAAACTGTTGGAGAACAGCTCCTGGAATATGTGAAACAAGTTCGTCAGTTGAACCTGTCTGACATTTGCTCTTCACTTAGCTCAACAATTACTCTTGGTAATATAAAAGAAATATTCAGGTAAGCATATTTAAGTTTGGGTAAATGTTTCTATGTGTGGTTTCATAATGTCATCCAAGAATACAGTTACTAAATATTTGGGATGCATTTGTTTTTAATTTGTATAATATACTGGATCCTAGCTTAAATCCAGAATTTGCATTATAACATGTTTGACTTTACATGCACCTTTCTAAGAATTAAGCCTAATTTTTTTGTTTTTTTGTTTTTTAGATTTCTAGAAATGTGTAAAGGATTGTAATGCATACTTCTACTCTGTTGTTTGACTGTCACTATTACTCTTGTTTTTTCTGATTAAACGTAAACTTTTAATATGCATGTTATTCGGATATTTCAATTCTGATGTAGTTGTAGTTATTAAATATAGATTTTCATATATTGACATTAATGAGGTAATCCATTTGAATTATATTAGTGTTTAATTACCAGGGGTATATCATTAGCTAGACACAGGATTCAAATTGACTGCCATTAACTTCATAATTGTGTTTGAACCATCAGGCAGACTTTGACAGTGGAAATGTTTGTGATCGGAGTGTGACTGAAGCTTTCTAGCATAGGTGGTTAGTGGTGGGGGTGATACTGTGATACTTGTTGTGGTAAACTCAAGGTAAACCTACCATGATGCTGTGCTCCAGGGTGGCCTGATTACTTACAAACATACCATACAGCATACCCTCAAAGTGATATGGGTCAAGGCTCAGCCATCAGGGAAAGTAATCCCATAAATAAACTTTCTAAGGGTATAACTGCTCCCTCCACACTACAGTACCTTGCAGTGATTTCGGGTTTCAACGTGCCTGTGACCCGGTCCCCGACCAGGCCTCCTGGTTGCTGAACTGGTCAACCAGGCTGTTGGATGCAGTTGCTCGCAGCCTGATGTATGAATCACAGCCTGGTTGATCAGGTATCCACTAGACACAAGGAATAAACCATATTGATTCTTTACAATTTAATCTTCACTGTAGCCCCCTTTACCCATAACAAAACCCCCTGGCACTACCTATTGACATTATGTTAATGCTCAGTACTACCCTTTGGGCAGAGATACCAGCTCACAAACAAGATACTCAGGCAGGCCCAAAACCTTTGAAGGAAGTACACTTAAAAATATCCCTCACTCCCCACAATACATCAATGATCTTCTTCAAGCTTACTCCACTATACTGTACATAATAACTGGAGTATGCCTGGAGTTGCATAAGGTACATATAGTTATCAAAGTAGACTGGTGTCCCAGACTAAACACACAGATTTATCTGAGGCAATTTCCCAAAAGTAAAAGACAAATGACCACTTCCAACCAGTCCAGTTCTCGTGTTCATGTTTCCACGGTGCCTCAGAGTAGCCCCAACTGATCACACAGTAACAGTCTACTGTGAAGACGATAAGCCACAATAACATGTCTGAAGATATGATGACCAAACCACACATCAATCATATATAATGTACCCTTCTGGCTGTTTATTAATTAACTAATTTACACATTATCTTAAAACTAGCCAGGAGCTTACATGGCAATAATTATGCATCTGGCAGTGATGCAGGATCAACTGTTAGCGACTCAATGTATTCATGTTATCTGCTTGCCAAATATCATGTTTCATTTCCGAGACTACTCTGGCCGTAAGAGTGGTACAGTACTTTATATAAATTGGGCTCTTGTGTAGATGGTTCTAGTGTTAAAAATTTTGTAACTGGTGGGCAATCAAAATAAATCTTAAGGTTTTGTGCTATTACAGCTGCCTTTAGAGTTTTATAAATACAAAGATCCATTATCATTCCACTGTCAAGAGCTCCATGGTAATTTATACTAATTTAAATGTTTACATTCAGCTTTCTTTAGATGTTAGGTAACATTCAAAACTTTTTATTGGCAGGTTCTTCATTGTACTGGTTATGACGTTGGTAATTGGTCTTTTTTCCTTTTGGAAAGAAGCTCACAATCTTGGACTACGTTTCATCCGTGAAGCAGGCATCTTTTTCCATCATATCACTCCATTTCTACAGTCTGTACTATCTTTTGTAGAGAAACTAGTTGGTGGTATGTACCTGTTGATAGCCATGGTATACCGTGATTGGCGGCGGCCAAGTGCACCGCCACCACCATACCCCCCAGGAAGCCAGTCACCTCGCTTGTTTATTCAGGGTCCAAGTCCTGCGAGTGCAGTTCCTCCCGGTGGATCAAGGTTGGTAAAATATGTGCCTCCAGAACAATGGGTCTTTAGAAACCAAAACAATGAATCATCTCCAAGGTGAAATTATTCATACTCACCACCATGTCAATGTTAATACCAAGCTGTGTTCCTTAATGCAATTTTTCCCTATACCTTTACTTGCCTTATTGAAGGTAGGCTGTGAAAAATGTCTTTTATTTGGTGAGGTTTCGCTGCACAGTATGATACTTGTACTGTTCTATTAATATTTGTATGTATTTCGCTATTTAAGCATATACTATCCTTATTTCAGTGTTTATTTAAGTGTCTGAATGATTTAGTGTTATGCTCTTATTCATGTGGGTAATGTTCACATGTAAAAGTTATGTAATTTATTATATATCCATAGAGGGTAGCTTTTCAACCTGATGAACAAGTTGTGCCTTTAACTAAATATTGATACAAACTTTACTATGAACACAATACTTAGTACTAGTCACCTGGTTTGTGTAGGGATTTTGTGGTTTATAAAGCAAGTTGTAATTTGCAAGCTTTTCTTATCCACTAAGTGTGTGTGTGTTTGTGCTAGTTTATTGTATTCTATCGTACCATTTTATTATCTTCCTGGTCATACATTATACTGTACATTGAATGGCTTGGTGATTGTTTGGCATTTTTACTTGTACTTGCAAATTAAGGTCATAATATCACTATCGTCCGGCGGCGACGTAGTTTGCATCCATTAATAATCTTATGGATGTCCAGCGGGATCAAATTTTGCGTCTGAAATTAAAATATTTGTTAAAATTCCATTTATTTTTCAATTATAATGGGACTAGTTTTAAAATGCGTGCCTTTAGATTGCAAACAATTTGATACCTCAATGAACGACGTAGCACGGCAATTGAGGTCAGAACACTAGAAAGATTATATACTTGTTTGGTGATGTGTCCAAAAATATAATATTTGTTAAAATTCCATTTATTGTTCGATTATTATGGGACTTGTTTTAAATTGTGCGCCTTTATATTGTGAACAATTTGATATCAAAATGAACGACGTAACTTGAAAATTGATGTTATCAAACTGAAAAGAGTAAACACATTTGTGTGAAAGTGTGCCAATGGGTGCTCGCTCACGGGTAACGGTCGGCCATCTTTCGGCTTTGCTGCGGGTTGGGCACACGGGGCTTTTAGACTTTATATGCATATATTCCTGTAGGGAATTCTATTGCAAACAAATTGATACCAAAATGAAAGTCGTAGCACGAGAATTGAGGTGACAAAAGTGAAGATAGTATACACATTTTATTGCTCTTGCACGCTCACGGGTAACGCTTGGCCAATTTCTGAGTTTGGTGCAGGTGGCATGCTGGGCTTTTGGACCTTATATGCATATACTCGTGTGAACATTTTGATACCAAAATGAACAATGTACAACGAAAATTGAGGTGATACAACTGAAAAAGAGTATACACTTTTCAATGTTGCTGCGCGCTCACAGGAAACACTCAGGCCACCATGGGGTAGTCTGGCGCGTGCACGCCCAGAACGCAAAAGTGATATAGTGATACTTGTCTCTTTAATTATGTGCATTACTCTGCAGTAATGCTATCTAACTACTTTGCTATACAAAGTAAATAAGAAGTACTATAATACTATTGTTGGAAATTGATTTTGAGGTTTTAGTGAAAATACAGTCGATTCCCAATGCTATGTGGCTTTAAACATAGTAATTTCAGTATTCTGTTAAAAAAAAAAAAACAATATTATTACCCCACTCCACTTTCATGGGATGGGAAGGCATCACCTCTTAAGGTAACTATAGTATATTTTATTATACAAATTGGAAAAGTACTTTGCAGAGACCTCCCAAATTATTTTTGCCACTCGATAAAACATCTTTTTGAACATTATGAAATTTTCCAGTCACAAGCACAGTGCAGAATAAGTGCAATATACTTGGAAGGTGCCACAATGAGAAAGTATGGTCCAAAACATTTGTAAAACATGAAATGCAGGTGTAGGAACCTAACCTACAGCTAACAATGTGGTAAACCCCCGGACTATTCTCTAATCTGTTTTTAACCCCGAATTCTGTGATAAATGGGATAGTACCAGAAACCTTGTACTGAACTGTAAATGCAAAATTGTGTTTACTGATTCACTGCAAAGTGTGGGCCACCTGTATCTTGCATCACAACACCACAGAGAGAGCAGTGCTACATTTAGCATATCATCCACAGTAGCATCCAATTGCTCCATACAAATAGTTTAGTGCTGCTTATGAATTGTGGTGTTTATTCAACACCACATAAACATGCACCCATACTTTATCATTCATGAACTAAATATTCCTAGAAAAGTACAGTACAGTATACACCCTGACATATTAAAATTTATTTTGTAGTCTTGTAAATAGATCACTCAATTCTTTTGCTCATATTGACCCAGCCCCTCAAATTAAAATAAGAATTGAAACGATTTGGTTGAATATAAGTACAGTACTTGGACCACCATGACAATCTACAAGTGTATGAGAGCAGCCTGGGGGTGGCGACCAAATAAAATCTTAATTTTTCATCGGGTAAAAACAAATTAAAACATAGGATCTTTGTAAATGTTCTCGGTGGCTTTACTGTATCCAAACCTTCTCCTCCTTGGCCAGTTTTTCAATGAAATTCGTCATTAACATGATAAAAAGCAGTATTTAATGATATATATTTTTTTTTTTAACATGACACTATACCTTGTGGTTATCTGCGATGATTTCGGGGCTCAACGTCCCCGTCCAGGCTTCCTATTACAGGGTATATACTTAATGTTTTTTTTTTTCTAACTTCTTGGTTGTGGATTTCATCTTTTTTTCCCACAAGGTTAATTTGTTAAGCAGTACTATATTCTGTAGCACCTAGAAAAATGCATCTTTACATAGCATTGAGAGTCGACTTTCCATATTTAGAGTATTGGGAAACACAAATAAGTGTCTTCACATTGTGTGTTAATCTGTGAATTTGTGATCACTGCAGTGCCTAAACATTAAGTGATGGTTTTACCTTTATGTATAGGCATTTCCAAGGTGTTGGTGCATTGGGCATAAGGTAATGTCAGTTGACTGCACCCCAAATACATAATACTTTTTTAAGACTTCTCAGTGTCTTATGTGTAAAGTTATTTGTAGCATTTTTAAAAGGAGTCCTTTTCTAAGTCAGTTTCAGAACTGTTCAAAGGGCAATTCTGGATTATCAAAGATTTTTATGATTTTCTTGTTTATATGCTCTGAAAGTGATAGGACCATTCTTTTAAATATGACTGATTCTTTTAAATATAAGACTGGTCTGTGTGATTTTTAGGCTAATACTACTTAGGTCAGTGCACAGAACATTCTCAGTCTTCGCAGAGTTGTTAAGTCAGGTGTTGATATGGAGCTGTATCTAATTTGTAATATTCTTTCATAATTTGTTAATATAACAATATAAAACACAAGTCAATAAGTCATTCTATTGTATGATTATGTCCCAAGATTTACAATTTTGTACTGTTTTAAGTGCACACTAATATTGAGAGGTGTGTTGGAGGGAAAGGGGGGGATGGGAAGGGGTACTATAACATTAGTATACTTGGATAATGAGCATATTGTAGTTACAGTATTGTAACCCATGAAGCTTTACAAATCAGTCTGAGATTTGGAGAAAGTAGTGGAGTAGTGAAAGTATTTGTAGTAGTAGTAAATTCTACCCTACCTTTGTGGGAGGAAAGATGGGCAATATAGTTAAGTCTTAGAGGGTGGTGGTCTTCTGATTATTCAGAGGTACAATACTGTATGTGCTACATAGGATTTCCCAAGTAATTTGTTTTGTTTTATATGCACATTTTATTGTATTTTTGGAGCTACATTTTATTGCAGTTGTTACTGTATTTTTGTACTTTGGGAATTGTTTAACCAAAATTTGTCTTTCTAGTCTTGGAGAAGCCATTTCAGCCAGGAAAACTGTTGGGGTAATAGAAAAAAAAAGCAGTGGCTGGAGAGTCATTGAGTGTCCAAATATATGTCCTAGGTGCATTTAATTTATATGTAATTAAAAAAAAAAATGTTGAAAAAAAGAAACTGGATAATATATGGGAATTGTATGATCTAAATATCTCCTATCCTCCAAAGAAATTTTTAAGGTTTATTCATAACTGTGCATGTTTTATAGCATTGCAGAATGTGACATAAACACCATTTCTAACTTATATACATTCGTTAATTGCCAAATAGTGCACACTAGCTAATTGCTGGAATTTTATTTTTGTATTGTAAAATACTATATATTATATCAGTTTAAATACTGATACTATTTCAGTGCTTGGTCAAGGGTCCAAACTAAAGCATCCATTCCAAGGTCTGTTGGTTACCAGAACATTTCAGTTACAGAATATGCTTCATTTGTCACCTGCTATTTTTCTTAATATAGTATCTAGAGACTGCTGCATCATTCCTTATTTTTGCATCAAGGTGTATTAAAAAAAAAAGGATTTAATTTAATCATTTATATTCATGTAAGTAAAGAGTACATCCATTATATAAGAAATAATTCATAAAGCCATGCCAAGTTTCCTACACAGGGCAGGAGATGCAGTCAAGTGTTTTCCTGCTGGAAGCATAAACAAGTATTTTACTAATTGGATTATCTTTGTGTTTGTACTGTAGTCCAGAGCACAGCCAATGGCACGAGACTTGGCATGACAATATATCTGATATTTTATTAAACATGCACTTTCCATCACTCACATTATACTTCACATAATAGTTTAAATAGTTAAAGAAATAGTTATTAAAAATATCCAAATGTACTTTACACATTTAAAGCATAAAAACTACCCCAAGATAGATCCAGTTACGAACTTTGTGTTCTGTCCAAAGTAAATGCTTCTGCTTATCTTTGCCTATTTCCATCAGGGTACAACAGTATCAAAAACTATTTTTCCCTTTTTTATCTAACACGCAAGATATGCAGACGATGAATCACAATAACGTGGCTTGAAGATATGAGAGCTAAACCACACACCAGAAGATGAGGAGACCGATATTTCTGACCATCCTGGACCATTATCACAATTGAGTTGATAATGGTCCAGGACGGACTGAAACGTCGTCTTCTCATCTTCTGGTGTGTGGTTTAGCTCTCATATGTGCACGATATCACATTAAATACATAAAATAATTTAAAAAATGCCTCAATGTTCTCTAATCACATGCATTTATAATGAGGCACAGTGGTATGTTACAATCCTCCATCAATTATGTACTGGGTGTCTTGTGTGGTCATGGTACTTCAGAGGGGCACACCCAACCACCAAATGCTTTCTCTAGTTCCGCAGCTACTGCCAGGCTGAGGTGATCCTGGTAATGATTAGCAACAACCTGAAACAGTGATATGCAGTAATTAATTTAATTTGTAATTAATTAGCCTGCCATAAAGATGGCTATTAAAATTTATTTACCTAGGTCGTACCTAATAGTGAGAACCACACTGCATGGCCCAGTATGAAAAGCCCAATTTGCTTAGCAGTCTTTTTTTTTTTTTTCAAATATTTCTTTCCAAAACTGGTTCATTCTTAATATTATTAAGAATATGAATTACTTTTATCACAATCATATACAGTACTGTATAACACAATAAAAATATTTGAAAATTATGATATTTCAGGAAATTTGACATTAGGCACCTAACCTAACACCTGGCCTTCTTAAATACCTGACTATTAGATACAACATAAATACTGTATACTGTATATTTATTTTATAGAGCTATGAATTTTTTTTAAAAGAGGCCGAAGCATTCATTAAAACCCATTAACAATTTCCTAAGTTTAGGAAAGGTATATATTATGTTAAACAAATAAATTGAAAATTACAATATATTTACTCTCCTAGTTTTAGGTCTAAAACATTACCTTTATTTTATTATTATTTTATAACATCACAAAAACTTGATTGTAATCATAACTTAGTGGGATATGTAGCTTTTAAAAAAGTATTGATAATTATGACCTACAGAAAACTAGAGTATATTTGTTCAAAATATGCTCGAAGTAGCAACTCTGAATTACCCTAGATTATGGTTAAAAAAAAAATTTCAAACACGTTTTTGTTTAATTTGCATGATGTTATTTCTTGTAATCATTAAATTTTAAACAAAGGTATTTAGTACATGCTATTATTACTAACTATAATAACTAATTACCTATATAGTGACTTCATTTAAAGTTCATGTACTTTCAATTTGACAACTGAATAGACTGATTTATTTTCTTGTATTATACCCAAAACTTAATTTAATTGCTTATGCAGTAAGCATATAACATTACAATCTAAAACATCTATTTTGATAAAAACAATTACCCAACACAAACCTGAATACCAAGAGGTAATCCATTTGATGCCAAGCCCAAGGGACACTGTGTTGATGGAAAGAGCAATACGTTGATGATGGCAGTGTAGGTAAAGTTAAATGCCCTGAAGAGTGGCTGGCTATGATATGGAGCTGTTGTAGGGTGACTTGGGAACAGCAGCACCCCATCTTCACCCAAAAGTTCCTGAAGAGATAATTAGAACTAGATTGTATAATTTTTTAATATCTCACTTTTTATAAATATTCAACTACAAAAATGTTTGATAGATTTTGTGGTATACTTTTAACTGTAAGAGCAAGACACGCTGTAATCTCCGAAAGTTCTTCACCGATTGCTTTGAAATTTTGACAACGTGGCCGGGTACAGCTAGTACAGTATATAAATTATAGTAATATCAAGCTATTACCTTAATTTCACTTCGCAGATCAGCACACATGGTGAGGAGTTTGGGGAAGTCACCTGAATTCTTGCTATAATTGTTCAGCTTCTCCAGTACCCCTAAGAGCAGACCTGGTAATGTGTGCTTTGATAACCTCATACACCACTTAACAAGCTCCAGCCAAACATTAATCTCTCCCTGTGGACAAAATAGTAAATTACAGTACTAGATAAACCAATATGACTAGCACAAAAGTTAGACTACAGTATGTATAATGATTATAAGTACAGTGTTTGAGTATGAGAATTATGTTGCAAAGTGCAAATGGGATTCCATGAAAGAACAGGTAATCTCTACTGAACTAATCTACAATTATGAATGAGATGCTTAGCTACTATAACGATGGATGAGATGTTCAGCTACAATATAATGCACAATAATATATTAATCTCAGATTAGATACATATTATATAGAAGTGAAAGATCATGTAGACAAGAAGTTTTCAACCTTGAGGATCGGCACTGAACCAAGATGCTTTCTGGCAAATACTGTATAACTAATATCGGCTATACTGTAATGTACTTGTTTTTGAAGATAAGGTACAGTAATTATCTGGAGAAAGCACCATGCTGATTCGACTAAATAATAATATTAAATTATTATTAACAACAACAACAACAACAGTAATTCATTGTCGAGGGACAGACAGCCAGTGTGTATATATATATGTTAAGCTTATATCGAGGTCACCATTAGGCTCCATTCCTTTCCCCCTGTCCCATCTCAAATCCTTATCCTGACCCTTTCCCAGTGCTATATAGTCGTAATGGCCTGGCGCTTTCTCCTGATAGATCCCCATTCCCCCCCACAGGATCAAATTACTGACCCCCTCCCCAGAATGCAACCCCACAACTAGCTGACTAACTCCTGGGTAACTCTTTACAGCTAGGTGAACAGGTGCATTAGGTGATATGATATGCACCCAACCATTTCTGTCCCCCCCCCTCCTCCCCCTAACAGGAAACAAAACTGTCATTCTACTGTCCAGATCAATTGGTTGGAGCTGTAAGTGCCAAATATTCATTACATCGCAACAGTACACCTGCAGGCACCTCCAGCTCAGTCCACAGGCACACCACACACATGAAGTTTAGAAACACACACACATGCATATGAAAGTGAAACTATATACCAGTATATAGACAATGTTTGCTTATTTTGCACCGGTGCTAAATGTACCTGTACTGTTTGTCAGTATAAAGAACGGATACTGTAAATCTGACTATAATTATTTTATACCTAGTACTCTATTATTTATGAATGTGAGATGATGGTGTGGAATGAATGTGAAAAACAAAGAATTAGAGCAGCAGAAATGGACACTGAAATGTGTGTGTGTGTGTGGTGTTAGGAGAGTGGAGCAATTTTGGAATGGAAAATGCCATGGAAAGTTTAGTGCAAAAGTGGATAAATTACAAGATTGAGGAAAGCATATTGAAACAGTTTTGACATTCTATACAGATACTGTAGAATGAATTATGACAGGCTGGTGAAGAGAGCGTATTCATGTGGAATTTAGGGTAGGAGGAAGAGAGGGGGGTCGGGAATAAAATAGAAAATGGGGTATTAGTGAGAGTGTGATTGTGTGTGTTAAATGTAGTGCACGTGTGTAATGCTGCTTAGTAAATATATTAAATAATGCTACAATACAATTGAGTGAGAAAAAGAAAGTAAAACAAACTGCTAAAATGAATCTCACCTGCTTGAGTGCCAACTCCTGACAAAAAGTGGGTGCTTCTTCTACATTTCCAAGTTTAGCAAAATAAATTGCTACAGCTGCTTTCAGTTTTCTCAAAGTGATCTGTAAGAATGGATATGACATATATTACTATTCTTAAACTCCAGCTTAAAAATAATTTGCCTTTACTGTGCTCACTGGAACATATTTCTCATTTAAATGAGGCAAGTATTTTCTCAAAGATACAAAATTGTTCACACACAGCACACTCACCTTCTTGGCTTTAATGCCATATGCTTTCTCAAAATGGGTTATAATTTTATGCTGTGCAGCTCGCAGCTCTGAATGAACTGGTGTTACCAAAGGAGATCCACCATCGTCCTCGATGTAAAAGTAGCGAAGGTTTTGTATATCAACCTATAGAGCAAAATTCTTTATTAGATCACACAACCAAGACCATAATCAAATGTGTTACTTTTCAAGGCACTACATTGCATATGGTTATTCTTGCAGGCCATTTACACCAAGAGAGGTAATATAGGAGTTCCTGCATTTATATATTGATGAATTAACAAGTTTGTTATGCATCAAATCTTTATAATCAAACTAGCAAACTTGACAAATATGTACAGGTATTATGCTTCAAGTCACCAGTATAATGTTTTAGTTTTTAGCCCACACACATGAGTGTATGTTAAGTAAACACTACCTCAACCGAAACTTCCATATGTTATAGTCAATAATGGTAGCCCTATTATTAAACTGAAATGCAACTCCAAGGAATAATTACCCCCAAAAATTACCATAGAACATAACAATCTAGTTATATAACTTTTTGCCTTACTTCCTCCTAGGAGGAGATGACCAAAGAAAAGTTTCTCCAAGAAGCTCTATCACCATTCTTTACAATACCATCATAAATTGTATTATTACTGTAATGAGTGTTTAATTCATTAAACACACATTCATTAACACTGAATTAATGGAACAAACAAAACATTAATATCAAAACGATAACCACAACAAAAGTCCAGTACAGTACTAAATTATTCTGTCATTTCGTCATTAATAAAAAGTGAATGAGGAGTTGACGTTTATCACAATGCTATTCGAGCGAATCATGCAGAGGCTGCAGGATCCGAGTGAGGTCAGCAGACCTCCCAGTTGCAATTCTTTTACCATGTCGTGGCACAGTCGACTAAAAAAGCGTCTGGTATCATCCCGGGCGTAAGTTCGAACCCTCATCACGGCCCTTGTGGATTTGTTCATTTGATATATCACGCTATTGTGATTTGTGTGTGTATTCCTAGGTACCTATTTACTACTAGGTGAACAGACACATTAGGTGAAAGGAAACATGGCCAACCATTTTAACCATTTCTGTCCTGCTCATGAATGAAACCCAGGAGTCCAGATTGTGAGTGGAGAATGAAGCTAACTGTACTATGAGAGTGAGGATGCCATAGAAATTATTGTATTATGCGACATGTACCAGAAATAAGAGATGAGAACTAAATTTAATGGCATTAGAAAAGAGAAGGATCAGAGAGGACATGATCACAGTGTACAATATAATGAGAGAACCTTACAAAGTAGACACAGATAGTCTATGTTTTACAGGTGAGGGACAAGAGAATGAGGGGACACTGGAAGATGGAAACACAGGAACCAGAGAAAAGTAAGGAAAAACTTGTATGCAGCGTGGGTGGTAAATATGAAGGATGAATTGAGTCATTGGTGGTGGAAGCAACCTACCTTTACAGCTTCAAGAGCAATTATAAGCGTATATAGGAGCTATAAATGTATTAGGAATACATTTATAGCTCTAGAGGAAAGAAAATTAAAATAATTTTGAGGCAATGAGCGACTTGAACCAGCATTCTAGCTGGTCTAGCTGGTTCAAATCCCAGACACCTGCTTTAATCGACTCAACCATAATGAGCTAAAAGTCGACCAACCAAGAACTCTACTGAATTCACTGGGAGGTTCTGGAGGCCCCGAACCGGAGCCCAACCAGGGTTTTACAGTTAATCCGCCCACACTCTGCCCAGCGGTAATGATGCCCACATTCTTACATCATGTGAGTGGGGCACTCACATGGCCATGAAATTACAATGGCATAATGAAAATCATTTTGATTTTCACTTATACATCACGTGATTTTGATTTCATGGTCATCTAGAGCAAAATCTCGCTGCCTGTAGTGACAACTAGGTAGGAAGAAGAGTGAGTAACATACATAAATTCTGAATTCAGGGTACTGTATACAAAATATATATGGTAAATAATAAAATTTGTTTCCTAATGTTGAACAATATGTACAAATTGTAAAACATTAATTTATGCATAAAAAAAATTAAAGAAAATAAAATTGCATGATTTTCTTATGAAATAATGTGGATTTCATGAACATCATTCCTTTATGCATTAAGTTCTGTGTGTAATATCCATTCATAAAAAAAAATATGAACTTTAACTAAAATTTACCTTTTGGTCCAATTTAAGCATGTGAACATTACTGGCAGCTAGAATCTTGAGCATGGGGGTCAGATCCCTGACATATTTACACATGGGCCCAGTCACCAGGAAATCCATTGTCTCACCTGTGGCTATAGGCTCCTGGCCTATATTGCTCACTATCCCTGGAGGGAACAGAGGATGCATGTGGCTGATTATGTACTAATGGGTAACACGCACATTTTCAAACAACAGTAAATTTGGAAGAGTACAAATGCAGAGGAATAAATAAGTATATAAGAGCATGGGAAGAAAGGAGTCTACAAATGTCTATTATGGGCTCACCGTAGCCCGTGCTGCTTGGAACTCTTATTTTTTTCCGAGTAGCTGAATCTAAAACAGCAACAAGGAATGTTGACCAGACCACACACTAGAAGGTGAAGGGACGACGATGTTTCGGTCTGTCCTGGACCATTCTCCAGTTGACTGTCCATTGCCTCACCTTGATGTCCCATCCCATCCCATCCCTGACACCCATACCCAGGTATGGTTATCTTGAGGTTATTTTGAGATGATTTCGGGGCTTAGCGTTCCCACAGCCCGGTCCTCGACCAGGCCTCCTTTTTGTTATGCACTCCCAGGAAGCAGCCCGTAGCAGCTGTCTAACTCCCAGGTACCTATTTACAGCTAGGTAACAGGGGCATCAGGGTGAAAGAAACATTTTGCCCATTTGTCTCCGCCTCCACCGGGGATCGAACCCGGAACCTCAGGACTATGAATCTGAAGCGCTGTCCACTCGGCTGTCAGGCGCTTTATGGTAACCATAGTTACCATGACAATGGTAACTATGGTTACCATAGGTTATTATTGACAAATAACAATGGGTGTCATTCAAATTATACTGTATACAGGTAGTATCCAAACAATAGTTACAAGCAAGCACTCCTTCATGCATGTTACACTTCACTATCGTATACCAATGTTAAAAGAACATTAAGGAAGCTTGAGAAAATGAGTAAACTAAGCAAAACTGTTATATAAGAAAGGAATTTCATTAATGTTACAGAAACTTGAATAAACTCAAAATGCTTTACATTTTTCTGATACATCCTTGCAACAATCTTACCATAAGTAGGCTTGTGGCCAAATATTCCATTGAAAAAGGCTGGCATCCGTATTGACCCTCCAACATCTGACCCAATGCCAAATGGAGATCCACAGGCAGACTGGATACATCCCTGGGAAAGTGATCGTAACTATATTAATTTATATTTTATTAGTATAAAAGAATTGAATACCATACTTATAATTCACAGTTTATGGAAGTAAAAAACTACCATTAAATGTAATGTAAAGCCATTTTCTGGGTGACCTGCAGAGGCTCCCTGGAGCTATCTCCCTGGGTATCAGTCAATTGGAGTTCAGCCTACCAGGAACTACGAGCCAGAACCTGGCCCCCCACACACACGCGAATGACTAAAGGGCTGATGCCCCTTACGAGATGTCGACTGATGAAGAGCAATTATCGCACCGACCAGAAGATGCTGGCTCCGAGAGCAATGCTGGCACAGAATCTGGCACCAATGGCCCACCCCGACCAGCAGAACCCCAAGCAAGCCCGACATAAGACAACAACTAGACGAAGCCGCCTGCAAAAACTGCTCGACCACAGCCTCTGCAAACAGCATTGGACAAAACGGAGATGAGAATCTTAAAGAGCCAAGGCCCAAGCAGATTCCAAAGAGAGGGCAAGCACAGCCTGACTGCACGCGTAGCGAGAATCAAAGAACAAAGACACTGCCTCCTTCATTTTAGGCACAAAGAGCTTCAACAGTGTGGCCGATGCCCTAGCTGCCGAGGACAGCACTCAACGCCTCCACATCCTCAAGCCAGCAGAAGACAGCTCAAGAGAAAAAAAGAAGCGCAAGGCCAAATACCCACGGAGGCGCAAATTCTCCGCAACCAAGGATGGCGAAAGGGAAGGCACTTCCCGGAAAGACCTGCACATGCAGCTGCACAAGGCCAACATCCCAAGAAAGCACAGGGGCGAACAATCATGCATTAAGGCGCTCGAACTCCCCCCCCCCTCCCAGGTAAACCTGCAGAATGGTAAACATTTCTCGCCACTCAAGCATGTGGGATCGACAGAACCTATACCACGCCCCAACGAAAAGAAAGGGAAGTCTGCCAGCCAGGAAGACTCTGAAAACTGGCAGTTTTTCCAAACTGAATCCAGTTTGGGAAAAGGCAGGATCCAGGGGAAAGACTGACGAGAAGGAAAAGCTTCTGCTGCACAGAAGCCTCGGCAGGAGGAACCAGCTTGAATGCCTCCGTCCCCAACCCGAACAGGGCAGCCCCCGAAACTGCCTGAATCTCATTACCAACTAAACCCTGCTCCGACTCCAAAACCTTCAGACGTTTGGGAGCCGGAAACGGGGAAAGGTGCAGGATAAACAACAGGAAAAGGACCAGCGAGCGCAGACTGAACCAAAGTCGAACCAACTAACGCCGTCAGGTCCAGGTCCCTATAACTAAAGCGGGGGAACCGCGGGGCATCCGGGTGGGAAACCAACTTAGCACAGCAACAACCTAAACCTAGCATGCAATGCAGATGCTGCCTGTACCCTAACAGTAATATCATCACAATAATACTGTACTGGAGAACAAGCAGAGAACACGACTCGCAAGACTCCAGGTCAAAGGTGTCGTTGATCCAACAGGCAACATGACGGAGGCAAGAGATGATCACCGTGAGACAAGGGCACACGGCAACCTTCAAACCTGCACAAGGCAGGCTGGCACCTGGAAGATGCAGTCATTAGTCCACAGAGCCCTTACAGGGTTTTCCAGGGGCCCCTAGGGAGACTGCTACAGGAAGCCTGGTCAAGGTGTTGCAAACCAGATAAACCCAAAGCTAACAAGGGGGAGAGTACAACACTGGCCAACACACACAACAATAACACAGCAGAGGTCGCCATGAGGGCAAAACACCGCCAAGAAATTCGAGGCAAGAGAAGCGTCCGCCCCAGACAACATTAGCTGATGAACTGGATGACTGAGTACTCGGCACGGGGAGGGGAGGGTTGCATGGGCGAGCGGCACGGCAGTAGAGTGTGACACTTGCTTGCTTACCTGCTTGTTTCCTTGGGATTGGAGGGCTACCTCTCTGTTCGGTTTTTAGTTGTTAGTTTCTTACCATGTGGGGTGTGTTTTGTTATGCCTACCTTTCTGGGTGCTAACCCCGGTCGATGGCAGATAAGAAAAAACCCAACCATAGGGGGGTTTTCCAGGGCTATTGCTCCCTGAAACCTCTCTGAAGGGGGTCAGGTTCTGGCTCGGGGTCCCTGGTAGGCCCAACTCCATAGCTAATGCTCCAGTCTAATATATCACACATTAGCCCGATAGCTCCAGGGAGCCGTAGGGGCTCCCCACAGAAACAGCAGGTTGAATACTCACTTCACCCCCAGAAGATCCTCCAACAATTCTACTAGTGCAATATGGATTACTTGTTCGCCCATATATTGTATTTGCACTCTCCCACCACATGCACAGCTCAGAAACATTGGTCACACACAGAGGAATGCCACCAGCATCCCTCATAATTCGCACCGTATCTGCATCTTCCTCAGCAATTATGTTTCTCCGAGACCATAAACCAGCTGTTTGACGCAGACCTATGAAATGGACACCAGTGATTATACAGATTATAAAATAGCTCTCAAAATTTGTGATGTCAGTGGGGGGTCTAAAAAGTGTGTGCCTCTAAACTCATTTCAGAGTAATTATGTTGCACTGATTGTCTCCAATAACTCCAAGCACAAATTTTTTGTTACACATGGAAAAATACAAATGCTGGAATCCAACTTTTTCTTGTAGTAATTTTACTAATATACAGTATGCACTACTGTATATAAAAATAAAGAAACTATACATTTTTTAAATTTATAACCATTGTTGGGGCCAAAGAGTGCTTTATGTACTCAGGCTAATCATGGGCCTCCTAGGTCAATTACTGACCTTACCCCAGGGTACACCCCACAACAGTTGCCTAACTCCGGGGTTAGACACCTATTTACTAATAGGTGAACAAAATAATCAGGTGAAAGGAAACATGCCCAACCATTTCTGTCCCACCAGGGAATCGAACCCAGGATCCTTGGTTGCGAGTCGAGGACACAGATCACTGTACCCACACTCCAAGTGCACACTTAAAGGATAACTTTAACATTACTCATCAGCATTATCTTATCTAAAATTAATCATTACTCAGTCATTGTGTTTTAACACCTACTGACTGTTAGAACTTTAACAAAAATTCAAGTAAATATTTCTCTGAATTACATTACTGTATACAGTTAAACATGAGTGACAAAGATAAGATTCAGAGATATGAGGAAGCCAGCTGGCATACAACTGTACAGAACCTCCACAGTGAACTGAGTAGAGCTCCAGGTTGGTTGGTTTTTGTCCTATCGTGACCGAGTGGGTCAAGGCTTCTGTAAGTCTGGGTTCACCAGAATGCCGGTTCAAGTCACCTCACTGCCTCAAAATGATTTTCAAATAGTATTATTGTCAGTCAAATCAATGAACCGATGGCAGGACCTTCTTAAAAGCCAGTAGCAACATACCTTTCACTGCAAAACAATCTTTGGTAGTGAATGGAACACCCAAGAAGGGTTTTGTTTCTTCTAATGTTTTCACATCTATTGTGCCAGATCTGTGGAGAGAGAAATGCTACAAGTCTGTTTAGAAAAAGGAAGTACAGTACTGTAATGACATCATTTGACATCGATTTAATAAATCTTATGATATATTTATTTATCAACCACAAGTGAAGAATCAAATGACAAGATTCATACCGAATAAGCAAGTCAGCAGCTTTTGCATCTTCTAAAGCCTCATCAAATCGGTTGTCGACTACACAATTAAGTATAGGATTAATTTCCTTGATGCGTGCTATAAATGATTTTACAACCTCTTCACTTGTCAGCTAGAATAAAAACCATAAAACAGTAAGATACGTTAATTTGTACAGTGCAGAACATGCTGAAGATTTATCTCAATTACAGTCACTGTTATGAGACTTTTAATGAACATTTGAAATATTCATTACTGTAGAGACTTCTACATGCTAATTGGCTTCATATATATGAGACAGTTAACAATAACTAGAAAAAAAGAGACATATAAAAAAATGCAACTGACAAGGATTGCCTTAATTGGTATATATAATTGTAGAAGTAAGAAAGATGGTCAACAATAAGGAATGAGAGGAAGGTGGAGAATATCATGTCATTCAGAGAATATTACAGAGCTTGAGAATTGTTAGAGCTACAGTCAACACTGTGCCTAAGCCAGTGATTCATTAATTGAAGAAATGTACAGTACAGTGCAGTACTATAAAACATTGTTAATACTGCACGTTATGTTAACTGAAAATTAATTAAAAAGTTTAACTTACCTTTTGGTTTCTTATTTTAGTTGCCAACGAAGTCGCAGACTCCAGAAGGATGAGATTAGTGATGGGAGGTAGTCGGGTGTGGGAATCTCCATGATAAATGATCCAAAAGATCACACTTGAAACTGCCTCCAAAATAACTCGCACCAAACGCAAGAAGAAATCAACCCACCTCATTCTGTCAACTGATTTAAAAAAGTTTCTGAAGTCACAGAAAATTTATCTCCAAAATAATTATTTAGAAAATATTACTGTAGTTGTAAGTAAAAAGATTAAAAAATCTGGAATGGATTCAGTACAGTATATGAAAGTAGCACATACAAAAACACTGAAGCATGCTAGTCTCATGCAATTACAAAATACAGTGAACCATATTCACCTTTCCCAATCATGCAGTACCAAGGCAAAAAATACACCATGCCAATAGGTGCTTGAGCAAAAATTATTTTAATTCTTGATTATGCATTTGTGTACCATGGGAGCTCTGGTGGTGTTAGACCATGATACAGGAGATGGGTATGTGCCATGGGAGCTGGTGGTGTGTTAGACCATGATACAGGAGATGGGTATGTGCCATGGGAGCTGGTGGTGTTAGGCCATGATACAGGAGATGGGTATGTGCCATGGGAGCTGGTGGTGTGTTAGACCATGATACAGGAGATGGGTATGTGCCATGGGAGCTGGTGGTGTTAGGCCATGATACAGGAGATGGGTATGTGCCATGGGAGCTGGTGGTGTTAGGCCATGATACAGGAGATGGGTATGTGCCATGGGAGCTGGTGGTGTGTTAGACCATGATACAGGAGATGGATATGTGCTGTGGGAGCTGGAAATGTGACAGACAGTGATAACAAAACATTAACAAAAAAGAAATTGACTTCCAATGTATAATTTAACATAAAAGGTCTAGAATCACATAAATTAACAACCAATTATAAATAACAAGCATATACAGTAAAAGAATTTTCTCATCACCATGACAATAACATTAATCACAGAGTAAATATTACCTAACAATACTAGATTCAATGTAATTATGCACAAGTTATCAAGCTAATGAATTAATAGGCAAGTGTGTTGTTACATTAAGTGGCATTTTGTATTTCTTCTAAATTTGGTAAATAAAAATATACAAAAGTGATGAGTGAATAACTCATTAAGCAAATGAAATTAGGTAGGATGGAAAGGTATGGAAGAGTGAATGTTAACTGACTCAAGTCAGGTTAAGTACCACAGACTTCAATAATGGTACACCACACTAAACTTCCACATTGAACTAAAGTATGTGATCAGTAGTGAGAATTATATATCTTAGGGAACTTTAGTACATAGCATGAGGTCCTAGGAGGCACACAGGGCACTTTTAACAGAAACGCAGAACATGTTAAACCGAAACCTTTCCAAAAGGCACTGCCAATAGCTGTAATGTAATATAAAGTAGTCAAATAACCATGTATATCATGCCTCAACCAACAGGGGGTCTCACCATATGCATTATGCCTCAACCAACAGAGGGTCTCACCCTGTGCATCATGCCTCAACCAACTGAGCGTTTTACCATGTATATCATGCAACAACCAACAAAGGGTCTCACCATATGTATCATGCTGCAACCAACAGAGTCTCACCCTGTGTATCATGCCTCAACCAACAGAGTCTCATCCTATGTATCACACCTCAACCAACAGTCTCACCGTGTGTATCATACCTTAACCAACAGTCTGTCACTGTGTGTATCATGCCTCAACCAACGGAGAGTCTCACCATGTGTATCATGTCTCAACCAACAGAGGGTCTCAACTAAACAAACAAAATGCTAATGTAAACAAAAGGAAAACTACATGTACTCATTAATTAAGTTTTAACATAAAATATTGTGCAGCAAATGTGCATATTTCTAGCCCATTTAATACAGCTACAGTACATACATCTAGCCCATTTAATACAACTTTCTTAATTTGTTACATAATTTCAGACACCAGATAAAGTTGTGAAAATTATTTAAATTTGAGGTTTATAATATAATACAGTACAGTACTAGACTACCTTTCTGTCCTTATTTTCTATGAAACTCTGAATGGCTTTTCCATTATACATTGGAACCTCGGTCTACAAATTTAATCCATTCCAAGACAGATCGTAACCCAAATATTCATACACAGAATCAAATTTTCCCATAAGAAATAATCTAAAATTGAAATAATCTGTTTCAAACATCCCAAAATATTACCGTAATTTAAAAATACATTTTAAATTTTCTACTCATATTTTTTACTGCACTTTACCTTTGGACCCTTTGGATGTTTAGGACTCTTTGTTGGCATATGGAAGATGGTGAGGAGGAGGAGGGGGGGGGGGGGGAGAAGAAGAGGTGTTAAGTGTTTGGAAGGGAAGTCCCATTCCATTATATCAAGCAGTGATGACATTTCTCTTTCCTACATTTTATGGAGAGTTGGACCTGGACCTGGTTGTGGTTCACCGATTGTTTGTCTCGCTAAGAATCTGTCTAAAGACGCTTGTTTTTGCCTACATTTTAACACTTGTGTAGTGAGACATCATCTTGTCATTATAAAGGTAACCACATCAGCTTTATCTTATCTCTTGTCAGCAAAACTTTGCAGTTCTTTCCACACTGAACACATTTTCCTAGCCAGATCAACCACCCGCATACTGTCTCCATGTTTACAAATCTCTTCTTTTTTTATCTCTCTCTATCATCATCTTCACAACTATTTTCTTAGATTGAACTTTATCACTGGCTTTCTTGGGACCAATGGCATGACATATAATAAGAACTTTTCTGTTCAGAAGAAAAAAAAAAGCCCAAAAACTGTGAAATTCTTCACAGAGAATTCAAGTGCGGTCATCACTAGGCAAGATACATTGGTAAGCTGAGCATGCCTCGCCCTGCGCCTGACCCATACAAGTATTGGATCAACAAGAGTGTCATACTCAGAGCAAACATCATACACCGGGTAAAATTTTACGACGAAATTGTTGTCGTACACCGAAAAATTCATACTCTGGGGCATTTGTAGACAGAGATTCCACTGTCTTAATATTATTATTATTATTTATTATAATAATAATAATAATTATTATTAATAAATTCAATTGGAGCACTGAGGTTACTCAAACCATCGATCAGTGTACTCGCACCTACACACCTTACCCCTGGACCACATGATATAAGTTATACAACCTGGGTTTCCACTGAATCCACAGGAAGTCTGGAGGCTTCTTCTGAACCCAATCCAAGTTTTACATATAACCTCCATGTTCTTTGGTGCAGGTAAAGTTTTTCATCAACTGTACACTCCAGCCTCAGATATAGAAAGAAATCACACTAATGTAATATATATCAATGAGAAGTTCAATTGGAGCTCCAATTGAATTTCTCATTGATATACAGTATATTATGTTATTGTGATTTTTTTGTGTAAATTATAATAATCATAGAGTAATCACACCAACGTGAATGCATCAATGAGAAAATCAGTAGGAGCCGTGATGAGGGTTGGAACCTATGAGGTGGGTGTTATCACGCACACACACGCTAACGACTAGACCATGACATGGTCAAGAGGACCATGTCGTGGTCTAGTCGCCATGATCAAATCCTTTTGACCATGTCGTGGTCTAGTCGCTAGCGTGTGTGCATGGGAACACCCACCGCATAGGTTCAAACCCTTATCACGGCTCCTACAAATTTTCACAATAATAATAATAATAATAAAACAATTATACTGTACTGTATTATCATCATTAATAGCATATTCATTATGGCAGGAAAAACAAAAATATTGCCCTTCATAAAATACAACACTGTGTGGAGAGGAAATATACACACCACCTCATAAAATAGTCCAATTCATGCACAAAAATTGCAGCAGCTAGGAGTTTGAATGCTGGGCTAATTATGTAAATACAGTACAGTGGCGCCTCGATTAACGAATTTAATCCGTTCCGGCACCGAGCTCATCATGTGGAAAACTTGTCTTGTGAAACAACAACAACACTGTCGTCGGAGGTGTCCGAGAACCAGCGAGAACGCTCGTTAATCGAGCGAAAGCTCGTCAGTCGAGACAAATTGTCTGCGAGTGGCTTGCTTGTTACTCGAAATGCTAGTAACTGGGGTTGCTCGTCACTCGAGGTTCCACTGTACCTGATTTTTTCAACAGTATAAATTACTCCAGTTAGGCAGTTTAAAAAGCAGGATAGGCACAGAAGAGGAAAAATAGGGATACTCCTTAGGAACTGAATGAAAGACAAGTCCTAATTGCTTTCATGAACAGATTTCTGTAGATTTAAGATGGATATTTTTAAATAAACAGTAAAGTCTAAAACTGTTCAGAAAGAACGGGACACAAGAAATGTGATATATGTATTCATGAAGGAAATATGTTTCATATGAACACATGAGAAGCAATCCTCTGATATCCCCAGAACTCAAAACATGGCTCAAGCTATTATGCACCACTGCCATCCACAGTTCAAGTTTAAAACCTTGACCAATATAGCAGATCCATCTGAATGGAGGGAATACAAATACTGATAGCTGCAGCTCGGAATGCAGCACTAAACTTGAATGCAATAGCAGACAGTACCAGTTATACACCAAAAACATTTAACTCATGCCTGAAGTAAGCAACACCAAAACAATCATGGGTGAAGCAAACACTGTTTGGGAGAAGCAGTGCTATCAATACAGTAGTCAAACTTTTTTTTTTTTAATAAGCTCTAAGGAGATACACAGGAAGTTTATTGAGACTGGTTGTGGCTCTCAATAGGAGCTAACCTGTAACATGAGTCTCGACAACCTCATCATGGGTTCTGCTGTTTTGACGGTGTAGGTGGGAACGTAGCCGCTCCATTCGCAGTTTCAGACCACTGACTGCCATTTTTCAGAGAGTACCAACTGTCTGTTGAAAGTATACATAGCCAAAATACTTCTTGTTCTTTATGTACTCTGATCACCATGTACAATACAGTACTATACTGTACTCAGATGTTAATTAAAATGTGTTAAAATATATGCTGTATAACCATTAATAATTTGTAGACAAATCTCAAATAAAGCTTCAGTATTGTGAAAAGTCTTCCAAATGTTCCTACTCTAAATTGGAAACAATGTCAGTGTAGAAAAACACTTAAGATGAGAGTACACTTCATTTGTAGATAATGCTTTGCATGAATGGCTTTATCAGATATAACAGATATACAAGGCTAGTGCTTATAATCAGGAAAAACAAGGAATGGGTGAGGTCAGCGAGGTGATAGCAAGACACAAAACGGACTCTGTCACAATTAATATTTAGGAAGTATTAATTTTGACAAGAGTGGTATCACTATTGAATTTTCCTTCATTTTATTTGTAAGCATTAAAATATTTGATGCAGTTGAATTTATATACCGTCTCCTAAGTTATTGTTTTGCTCTGATGAGTTTAGCATCCATGAAGTTCATGAGATGCTGCTCCTGGTAACTGTGTGACATGAGGATTGTGCGTATTATCGAAATTGAATGAATACAGTTCTTAAGGTCATAGCTACTGTACTCGCCTTAAGTTTCATGATGTTTCACCTCCATATAATTAATCACAGCTAATACAGATTACAGTATACACCCCGTGTTGTTGTGATCTTGACAAGGGTTTGGATTGTTGTTCATGTTTTATACACACACCTTATATTGGCTTGCACATTCTTATTGCTTTCTGTCTTGTAGTTGAAGAATGAGTTGGTGTTCTGGGTCTGCTTTGTTATTAAGTACTACAGTACTGTTTATTTTAGTTGCTTTCTGGATTCCCTAAGCACTTTTAGGCACATAAATTATTAAACAGAATCAAGGAATATTCAACATTGCTACTCCTGTTTAGCTCAATTAATACTTTATTAATATAAATTGCAAAATATAATCCCTAATTAATAACCCAATCCACATGAAAAGAAAGGAAAATGATGATACTGTACTGTATTTTGGTCTGTTAGGACTTTTATAAAGCCATGTCAGTTTCCAGCTAAGTTATTGGGATTTTCTCTGTATAATCTATAATTCTCTTACTTTCCTTTCACAAACCTCACCTTCTCTCCACATTACTGACCTCACCACTACCTTGTCTCATTACATTAAATAAATAAACATCTCTGCTAAATTTTATAAAGTTCTACGAGGCAAAACATCAGCTACAGTACAAATAAAGTCAGCTTCTACGTTACTGTCAACATTTTGTACTCCTACTACCAAATAACAGCCACTTCAAATTAATTAACATGATGGAAGAGGAATAAACATAAGCCCCTGGACTGATCAGAGATTTTTACAAGTACTGCAACAAACACTACTACAGTACTGTATAAGCATGACACAACTTATATCTGAATATTTAACAAAAATGTATCCGAGATAATAGAGTGGTGTCGTTGAAGAATTGTAGTGTGGAAATAAGAAAACTATATCAACCAATGTAAAGGCAAGTGGCCGATAAGTAAATAGCCAAGATACTTGTATGCCATCTTAGGTAGTAGTGGTCGATTTCAGACCTCTTTGGAAGCACTACCACGATGGAAGTAAGAATAAACCCATTAATTAATACTGTTTACGGATTTTTACTCTTACCACACTCCCTGTTAACCACTACAGTACTTGTTTTCCCATTTTCCCTAGTCATGCTTTTCATGTTTCTTTCTCATTTGTATATGCTTGCCATTAATAATCCTCATTTATTTTACACACTCAATTCTCAGTGTAGGCAAATAACATTTTCAGAATTTGTTAACAGTCAAACCAATATGTACAATTCTTTGACTAAAGTTTTGAAGCACAGTACTCCATCAGGAGTCTTATGACTTAATGGCACTTGGCTAACCTGACAAGGATAAACAGTTCCTAAAGGGAATAAAACACAGAAAATATAGATAATTTACATGCCATAGATACAGGAAGCAAAAAGATTGCCAGTCTAGTGCACACAAAGTGAGAAATGCAGAGAATACCAATACCTGTAATACGGTTTGAAAATACTGTACATCTAATTGGTACTTCTGAAGTGTGATGTGAGACTCATCTACAGAAATATACAACATGCAATGTTATATTAAATTATAAATAAGCCACCTAGAAATACAATACAAAAATAAAACAATATGTACAATACAGATTAATACAGTGCAACAAGGCAAAAATAGATACTGTACAATAAGTATCAAGTAGGGCATTTGATCAATAATATTTTTCCTTGTTAACATATTCATAGGAAGACCTTGTTTTCATTATAAAATTATTATCTACAAGTGCAGTTTCATGCTTCAACAAAGTTTGACCAATCTCCATTTAGAAATTGATGAATAGAAAATCTTCTTCAGACATGCTCCTAGTATAGTACAATACATAAATTTGAATGTTGTGATAATTTTAAACCATATATCCAGTACACAACTGTATCTTAAGTATATTTATTTCAAATAAACTAATAAAAAAATTCTTGACTGCATATCCTATTCTCTATACAAACGTACACTATACTGGTGTGTATATATGTACTCTTCATGAACTTTCACTGTATTGAATATAAATATCACTATACTGTAATGTACTACATATAAAACATAATACATTAAGTGCATACAAGCACAGGCAAAGTAATTAGACAAACTGCAAGAGAAATATAAATATCATAGGTAGATATGTTGAACATATTAACAACAAAAATCAAATACATTCAGATTTACTAACCTTTCACTCGTGGATTTAAAGAATCATACAACCGATGCTGAATCTCTGTCGACTGTAAGAACAATAATTTTGATGTATTAGCCATGATGTTCTGTTTGAGAATAAAAATAATATATCGTCTATAAATTCTTCTTCAGCACTTCTAAAGTATTTTATAAGTGATCGTTTCTTGTGATGAATAACTAAGAGAAACCTTAACTTAATTAATCAAAATAGTGAGTTTTATACAGTGCAATATACTGTACAATCCTTTGAGTAACTTAGTTTTTTGTTTTTATCACTGAACAAAGCTTGCCGTGAGGACAATAACTAAGTGTATCTCATATGAGGCAAGAAAGTCATTCCAAGTACATATATATATTGGAGGGTGAAGTCTTAGTTGCCAGTTACTGCCAATCTACTAAATTACATTTGACTAACAGCTAATTATTAGTCAAAAGTAAATGGCATTTAATTTTGACAAATTTACTTTATGCTAATTGCATTAAGCACAAACAAAAGAAATACTTGGCAAGCATCAAAATACTGTATTGTACTACAAAACAGCTTTAGATAAAAGAGACTATTCGAGCCACTGTCCTAATCCAATATTCCGAAGCCCCCCAAGTTTCACCAACAAGCCTAAAGATTTCTATTTTTGTCATTTTCCTGGTGTGCTAAGAGGGACATGCACTTTGGAATTGTTGTCCCATAAACAAATTCCCATTATGTACATTATATTCCAACAATGCAGTATTATCATTAAGTTTCAATAAGGCCGTGTAAATAATAAACAAAATGTTCCAGAGCTTCAGTATACTGCATAAAACTAGAAGACAGAGCAAAGTGGGCACCTTGAGAAGACCACCCGAGTACTGAGTGATGATGCAACTCTTGCTGTACAAACTTCCTCTTCCCCAAAAAATTAAGAAAGAACGTACTAATTAAAATATTTATCAAAGCTACAAATATTATATATAATTATGTACAGAAATATGTAACACGTAAATGTGATTGAAGTTTTTGATACATTAAAATAAGATTAAAATTATAAAGAATTCCTAATAATATTTAGTTTTAATCAATACAGTGTCTGCAATAACCCCCACAGATGAGGTTATTACCAAGGAAAGAAAGCCTCAAATTAGGCTCTTTAAAGATGAAACCTCAGAAAACTGGCCACAGGTAAGAAAGGTATGAAACGTTGTTGACATTTAGAAAATCAGAACTTAATTTATATGCTAAACAATAATTAAGACAAAAATAATTTCAAGCTCCTTTACTGTAAACTATTCTATATGAAACAAAAGCTAGGCTCTAGCCCAACTGCATTCTCTGTTAATTAAAAAGATGCTATGCATTTTGGATACATGCCCATGGGACATTGCATCATTTGGAAATAATCCCACTGAATGCAGCACTGTATTATTTATGTATTATAAGTTTGGTAATTACACTGTACTGCACTTTTTGGGCACAGCCTATGGAATGCTGTAATATTTGGTTACAAGCTCATACTAGTTCTGGTTATGGATGGAAAATTGGGTATCGAATCATAACCATTTGATTCCTGTTCACCAACCTATACATTAATTACTTACCCAAGTATAAATCGATTAGCAGATCGTGTTCTGTGGGAAACTAGCAGAGTAAGGCTCAAAATCCGGTAATAGAGGGGTCCCAGTATTACAGTCGTTCTTGACACAATTGAGAATTCTGGGCTCGAATCCCGGGCAGGACAGAAATGCTTGGGTGTGTTTCCTATCACCTAATGCCTCTATTTTCATATTAACTTAAAATTTATAAAAGGGATGGATGTGGAGTACATGACAGACAAATGGAAATAAAATATAAGTAGTTCACCAGAGGTATAACTTGCTTGGTTTTAATAATAATAATAATTTTAAGAACATTGTGGGTTCAGTTCCTGAGGCCACTAATATTCTAATAGCCTAAACGAGGACAAGAAACAGACGGCTTGTCAAAGGTTATCTTGAGGTTACCTTGAGATGATTTCGGGGCTTTTTAGTGTCCCCGCGGCCCGGTCCTCGACCAGGCCTCCACCCCCAGGAAGCAGCCCGTGACAGCTGACTAACACCTAGGTACCTATTTACTGCTAGGTAACAGGGGCATAGGGTGAAAGAAACTCTGCCTATTGTTTCTCGCCGGCGCCCGGGATTGAACCCGGGATCACAGGATCACAAGTCCAGCGTGCCGTCTGCTCGGCCGACCGGCTCCCAAGGTCCCCCCTTTTGTCCCTGATAATTTGTTCATGCTGGATTTTAACAGTCAGCAGTGTTCTGGCATTTAAGGCTTCGGCAGGTAGGTGGTTTCATGGAATTATAACCCCTATGGGTACAAACACATCTCCTGTTTTCTGTCCTATATTGTGGCTTGTTGAGCTTGTCTATAAAATTCCTGCCAGGGTTCACAGGACGAGTATGAGGTCCACAACATACTTATATGCCTCTATGTTCCTCGTATGCATAGTTTTACGAATAATGTATTATTTTATTATAACTTGCAGTCACACCCCAACTACATATATAATAAACATTACCAAATTTGTCTGACATTCGTTATTTACACAATACAAATAATTCAGGCTGTATTTATATATATAAATTACATTTATGCTACCTTGCTTGATGATTGTTGTTGATGAATTTGTTGTGGTGATGGCATGAGCAGTAGTTTTAGTTTAGTTCATTTATCATGCACCCCATACCCCCTCTTGTGGGCGGTAGTGGGAAGGGTTACAGAGGCACATAATGGGCTCAGGGACTGAACCCCACAATTCATTTAGCTAAGCAAGTTACAATCTTGATGAGCTAGTTACAAAATTCAATATAAGTCGTCACATCAACAATGGGTTCGAGATCAACCTCAAGTACAGTAGGCCTACCTTGTACCTCACAGTACAGTGAGTGTATGAGGTGGAGGGCCTCACCAGCAGGAGAGATGAGGCACAGTACTCCAGGAACACGGACGTGGGAGGTGTTTGTCACTGTTTAGGATTACAAAATGCACTTCAATCAGCGTCGTGGCCTTGGTCGCAGATGGTGTGCTGACTCGCACTTCCCTAATGTTGCTCACTATATGGGGATTTTTATTTTTCCACGCGATTAAGCTTTAGCTCTCTGGACCCGCCTCACAATCTTTCCATGGACTTACTGAGTTGTTATAGCTATATTTGAAGCTCTGTTTACGTATAGAATTTTCCACCACGGCTTCGCCTTTTTGTGTATTCCTGTACAGAAAAAAATAAGAGGTATTACTATAACAATTAAAAAATTATTTATGTCACTCTGGTTCGTTCGATTTAGATAATAGAGTATTCACCTGCATGTCTCAATCTTCGAGTACAAACTCTTCTAATATTCTGGCTGTTGATCTTGAGAATTTTTGTATGTGGTGCTCTTGTCTCAATTCAATTTCTCTCTTCCCGTGTGGGGTTCAGTCCCTGAGCCCATTATGTGCCTCTGTAACCCTTTCCACTACCGCCCACAAGATGGGTATGGGGTGCATAATAAATGAACTAAACTAAACTAAACTCTTCCCGTGACAACAGGTTTAATTCCTTTAGTCATTCCTCATAACACAATAAAAAATGTTTAAATAAAAATAAAATGTTTATTTAGGTAAGGTACATACATACAATAAATTTTTACAAAGATTGGTTGACTTATAGGTAGAGCTAGTACATACAATGCCTAAAGCCACTATTACGCAAAGCGTAATCATCTCTGCTCTCGTACTAGTCTGGTGACATGCCTCTTGCAGATTTTACTTAGCTTCATTTTGTATTTAGATATAATTGTTAGCCCTATTATTTATATCAGATTACTAAAGGCAGTTCTTGTATGTGTTGATCAACTTGCATTTATATTTGAGAAAATGCCTGTTTTGAATGAACAGCGTGTTAAAATTTATGAATGCATCTTTGGGGTCGACCGCTGGATGGAATGGACTTGGTCTGAGAACGAGTTGGGGTGCGAGTCGAGAACGAAGTACTAGACGACAAGCCGAACTGCCATGAGATATTTTTAGCAGTCGTATTCGAGCTGTGACGTCTGTCAGTCTACTGATTTTGTTACTTGCCCCATTTTTTTTTTTTTAACATTTCATCGTGATAAACAATGTAACTACTAGTTCCTGTTTGTACCCTTCTATTTTCTTCAAATTCTTCTAAGGGTTCTCGTGTAATGGCAGTTTTAAAGGTCTATTTAATAACCCAAGATTACGTTCAACATTTTTATTTACAATACAGGTTTATGTCTGGTTTCAGACACAAGCACGTTACAATTTTATTGTAAGGTATTTAATGTTAGTAATAAGGAAAGAGAGTTGGAAATAATTCAGCTGTCTACTGCAATGTTTTTTTTATTATTTTCAATAATTTTGAGTGCTATTGCAATTCAACTTGCAAGGTGGACGCCAAGTTACTGACTCCTACATTTTTTAATTATGCTGCCGTTGGGCTGATGAACAATAACAGCATTTCTTACTTTTCAAGCTGTAACTGAACCGAGAGATGGTGGTGGCTTGTCAACAGAGCCGCATTACTCAATAGGTCAAGTAGGCTATGGCCTAGGGCATACCAGTACACGAAAAGGGAATTTAAACATATTCAAGTACAGTATAGGAATATGACTGCGATGCATTCCTCCCCAAAACTATGTACAGGTATAATATAACTTTATATATTATGACAGGGGCTGTCTACATGTATGTGTTTAGCCTGAGAGCCAATTTATGTGACCAGTAAAAAAACTTTTTTTGATTCGATTATCATACCTTTCGAAAATATGGTGGTTTTGTACTTTTAATTGCACGAGTATGTCCGGTGGTGATTCTCCTAGGCATGTATAGACCTTTGCCATAAATATGAGGGGTTAGGGGGTCCCGTAATACAATCGGGTTCGTTATCGACTCACAGTCAAGAATTCCGGGTTCGAATCCCGGATGGGACAGAAATAGTTAAGCTCATTTTCTATCACCTAATGCCCTAGCAGTAAGTAGGTACTTGGGTGTTACTCTGCTTGTTATAGGGTTACATCCTGTGCGGGGTCAATAATTCGACCTTAAGGGGGGACCTCGATATAAGCTGAACGTGTATGAAATACACTCTGGCTGCCTGTCCCCGACACAATGAATTATTATTCTAATTGCTGCTTCGCCAGCCATGTTAACTTAATGATGATCATCATGATGCCATGAACATTACACCAGCCGAGGATAGAGTTAACACTGCCAATTGTGAATCATCTATTTAAATTGGATGTACTAATACTAACATATGGCTGCATGTTAACCCGCCGGGTGAGTACCCCTCCAATAAATTCGGTCTGCCAGAAATTATACTGTATTCTCAGCAGCTGCATTTTCTAAGAAGTTTGATACATCTGTTTGAGAGCCGTGTGGTCACTAGCGAGCCACAACCACCACCATTAGGGCGCCGTTACTACGACCCTCTTCATAAACTGGTTCCCGTACTCTTCTCACAACACAGATACACATCACTAATCAAAAACGAGCCGCATCATTTACGTTGATCAGATCTTATCTAACGAGATATGTGAGCACCAAATTTATGATTGAGTTTGTGAAAATCCTGTCTGGCTAGTTATCTTTTTTTCTTTTGGTTGCCTAGAGTTCTTTTGGAGTTTACAGACTCGTGCGAAGACAGGTTTTCTCCTGCTTACCTCCATAAAGAAGAACTACAAATTAATGGTGAAACACTTGAATGCATGGGGTTGACCACTATCGGTACCTTGGCGTCACTGTCGGCTCTAACAAGGGAAAGAAAGAGGAGCTCAACTAACTCATAGGAACATGCAAAAGTCGACTCAGAGCATTGAAAACACGGAATGGGCATGGGGACTCTATTCAACTTGTCCACCTACAAAGAACGTCGATTTTCGCTCATACGTATGCGTTACCAAGGTAAAAAATTGTCGTAATAGAAAATGGAAGCGGCTCGCGAAAGTTACTTACTGTCCCGTTTTCTGTTTTGGGTCCTCTGGCCTAGTCTGGTAGGTAATTTTTATTTTATTTACATTTACAAGAGTTCTTACGGCATTGTAAAGCCACTAGCACGCATTGCGTTTCGAACAGGTCCTTAATCCTAATTTTTCCCCGGAATATGACCAGCGAAATCGTTTAATAACAGGTACACATTCATCGCTGGGTGAACAGAGGGGTAGAAATGGCCTAAGTTATTCTATCCCTTTGAGATATACTTATTTCTTGTTTCAAGAAACATAAACTTGAGCTGAGTGAAAAGAGGCTACACTTAAGGATTGGCATCGAACAAAACTGAATAGAACTTAGAGAAAGTTAAATCCACAGTAGCTATTCCATCTCTCTCTCACACACACACACACATTTACTTCGGCATCACATATTACAAATATCCAGGTACATCTGAATTTATGCAGCGACTCTAATTTATATGAAGGGTTACGTGATCAATAACTTGCAAACCTTGGATGCAGAATGAGGATATCCTTAATGACTGGACACTCAATACTGTAGTGTGTTAGACCATAACCGAGATCTTGTGCACAGTTTACACATGGATTACTGAGGGTTGGGGGGATTCGTCCCTTGTAGTCAGCTGCCACAGATAACGGTAGCCCAACCTGATCTTGGCAAACACTATGTCACACTTCTGGTGGGTGTTTTGTGCTACCCATATATACATAGGGTTCAGATCTAAACAAATTATAGCTTTTTACACTGGTGCTTTTAAGCCTTTGAGAGTGTGACTGTTTTCCCTGTCAGACTGAATGTTTGCAGCATAATAATATAAATGAGGATACCTAGGTCTAGTTGAACTTCATCCTTGTTGCATACTAATTTGGCTACTATGTCTGTCATCATCATGATTTATATTTATGAAATCTATCTGGCTGCAAGTTTCTTATTATTTTATCCATGACCACTGAAACATTAACTACAGTACTGTAATTATACTTCTGCCCTCGTAAATTGATCACAAATTTGAAGCATATGAAAACTATAACTAGTTCACCACACAAGTAAATTACTTATGATAAACAACATAGGTTTTGTTACTGATACAATATTATATGTGACGAACTTTGCCGCCACCGCCCGTAATAGAGGTATGGAACCCATAATAATCTAAATTAAATTAAGTAAATTTACATAGTTTATATTGCGCCTCATGCCCATTAACTAAATTAACTGGGCAGCCACCTCACTCTCGGGCAGCCCAGGAGAAATTTGTAGGAAAGCTTGTGGCACATCTGCCTTAGGCTACTGTGGTAGCCTCTCCCCATCCTCTCCATATAAAGTCAGCAGCAATTCTTGTCTTATTTCCCTGTGGAACAATAGTCAAGTAGCTTATTATAAGCAGCTATTATTGGCTGGTGATCAAAGAGTATAGATTTTTAATTTGAGGATTCAGAAGGTGTAGAGTTAGTTCATTTGTTATGGACCCCATTTACCCCCCTCTTGTGAGTGCTAGTGAAGGCTACAGAGGCCCATAACGGACTCTGGAACTGAAAAAGGTAATTAATTAATATTGAAAATCTAAACTCTAACATATTTATATTAGCAAACTAACATGAATCAATTATATGAAGGAAAGTGGAACCTTTGGTGCAGGAAAGCCAACTGTATAAAACCGGTTTATAAAAAAGGTTTGATGAAAAAATACCATGGAAAATACGAAGAATTATGAAAACAGCAAAAAAAACGGATTTGCATTTGTAATATAGTAAGAAAATTGCTAAACGAGGATGTCAGGTTGTTGAACTCGATAGAAAAAAGGTCAGATACATAACGGGACAAATCTTGCCAAGTCATTAGGATCTATAATTAGAATAACAAGAAAGATATATTAACTCGAAACCAGTTGGCATGCAAACCTATTTTTTATTTACACGTTACACTTTTTCCTTTATCATTTTAATAATAAGCTTAATAACTCTATAAGTACCGTGAATCTAGACGTGCAAAGTACATGTAATCTACGAGGCAATGACCCAATTATTGAAGTGTGCGCAATGCGAGCTGGCAGTAGCTGGCAGGTCTTAACCAAGCGGACTGGATAGTGACTGACCTCCAGGGTGCCGAAGCTCACCTTGGAGGACCTGTGCTTGTCCAAGGTACACACACACTCGGCCATGATCTTGGCCTCTTGTTGAACCTCAGGCTCACCGGCTCCTCTTTCTCCTTTCCTCTTTATTTTCATTACACTGTCCTTGTTTCTTCAATTTTTTTTTTTTGTCATCGCATCATTTTTATTTTTTCTCGGTATTAAGTCAGCAAGTATCAAAAGGTAGCACCAAGCCGGGAATTTAAGTTTATGTGTAGCGACCTCCGTGTTAAATTTCCGTTCCTATTATTTTCTTAACTTTACATTTGTCCTTTTCTCTCATTAGTTCTTTCCACAAGTTTCTTCGTTCTATCACCACCTTTGTCTCCTATTATTCACCATGTTCTTC